CCGTATGTGCTATCCCAGACTGTAATTTATCTGTGCGAAATTTCAACCAGATCCGTTCAACCAATTCGCGTAATTCAGCATCCACACTTTCTCATATATAATATTATAATATAATATACGGCGTTGGGTAGGTAATATATAAGAAAACCTTTATTAATTGTGAAATTTATGTGTTGTATATGGTGATAAATTATAATGTTCAGCTCTGATTATCAACGTAATCTAATGTTTGCCCAGGCTGGGTACTTTCCGATACTTCAGCCCTGAATCCACCACTGATCGTAAGAAAAATCAATAAGTCACCAGCATCGTCATATATGTAACTCGCGCAATAATTTTCATGAAAATCCACTCAGTTACACTTCTTTTAAATCTTTTCGATGCATCACCAAACATGATATCAAGCTCTGATAAATCTTAAAAAACTACTCACCTACCTTGCTAAATATAAAATAACGCTGAGAGTTCCATGATGGAAAACTGCACGCCCAGCTTTCACGACGGAATTCAATGACGATCTGTGGGAAAGCGGGAATGCGCAGTTTCACCTCGCTGGAAATCTTTGGAGGAGAGAACTAGAATACGACAGGGAGTGGGAAAAAACTGGAAGGGGCTGCGCGATGCGGGGAGAACTTCCAGAGAGCCATTTTGGCCTCTTATTAGGTAATTTATTAGTAGGTATAATCGCACTCATAGTTTTATATAATCAAAACCATTCAACATCAAGGAATTATTCGATTGAGTCCGAATAGCTTTTGGTAAACGGATATTTTTTATATTTGTTATGTTGTAATTCCTAACGCGTAGTACAAGTATCTAGAAAATCAGAGGTTTTAGGCTTAATTTACAAAATGCAGATGCTTCGTGTTGATCTTGATTATGCCCTACTGCAGTATAGTACAAAAGGTAATGTGACTTAAAAACGGACGCAGCCTCCTGCCAGATATCTGGCATAAATAAATTAATTTTACCCTCTTTCGGAGAGCCCAATGAAAATACTGACTTGATGAATTTTTAATATACGAGTAACTTCACTCTCGTCTCCTGGTGTACTCTATATGGATACCTGACGACACATACCTCTGATACAGGTTCGTGATTTACAAGATCATGTAAAACTTCTGAAATCTATCTGAGCTTTAACAGGGTAATGTATAAACACTGACAACCAAATTTTGTCTGAAGGCTGGGGTTCAATGTGTACGAGAGAGAAGTGTGTATAAACACATACGTTAGAAAGAGATAGATGCCGGCTGGATAGCGAAGCTCATCACCGCGTTGCCTAGCAACGCTGACGCGACAATATGGCGAGTTGCCAATATATAACACCAATTCCTTTGATTACTATGCATGTTGAAAATATGCGTTAGTTTATTCTCTACGCCCAAATAATATTATTTGGAGCGTACACATTTTTTAATCATGAATTGTGTCGAATCTTTTTAGTATCGAAGCCAGATCGGCCCTAACGGCGCTACATTTTAAGTCGGAATGAAAGGTTATGATCGCCATGAATTCTGCAACATTGCATCATTGGTTCGTTTGATAACATCGCATCTTGAAGCGATTTTGGTCAGCATCCATCTAGCGCTCGTAGGAGAGTATTATCCTGCTTCGAAATGGTTTTCACATTTGTTACAATTTCCGACCGCTAACTGTCGCAAAATGTAACAATAACTCTGAATGTGTTGCTTTTATCACAATCGGTGGAAATCGAAGATACTTACTTAGTTCTAAAGTAAATTAAAACACTAAAGTCGCATCAAAATTGATATAAGCAATTCTAATCAAAATGCAAACAAAATATTGGATTAAATGTTCGAACAGACGTCCTTCTTGAGTTTGACAGTAACCTAACATATTGTAGAAGCCAGTGCGAACATTTTCTGGTGTAACATATTGGCAACGCGGCAGATTGCACGGTATTCTGCGTCACCGTAGAGGGGCAATGAGGTGATGACCTTCGCTCTTCAGCCCGCTTCTATCTCTTTTTAGCATGTGTTGATAAACACTTCTCGCGCTTGTCTTTCATGCACATTGAACTCAAGCCGCAAGACAAATTTGGTTTTCCTATATATAGTGCTTTTCAAAAAGCTCTTCCCCCAACTTATTTCTTCAACGGGTAAAGTAAAAAATTGAGTGACCCATATCGTATTGCACGTTCAGAAAGGCCCCCTTCCATAAAAAGGTTGATAGACACTCTATAACGTTTTCATGTCTAGCTGTCGAGTTATAAAAGCGACTCAATGTACAAAAACGCTTAAAATTGACAGCCTACCAGTCCGCCATTTTGGGCGATAGTGATTCTAGGATCATAAAGTGCACTCATGCATGAGCTTCAAATGTTCCAAGATAGCGCCCACCCTCCATCTTAAAATTTTCACCTGCTATTTTTTTATGAGATATGTATCGATTTCATCATTGGTAACGTGACTCGTTCAAAATATAAGTAGGAGGAGCCGTTTAGAAAAGCATTATATCACCAAAGGAAAATGCTGCAAAGACAGCCACACTTTCAGCGCTGAATGTAAAAAGGTAGTTTTTTTGCTCTTCAAAACGTAGTGAAATATCAATCTGTCCCTTTTAAAGCTAACCTTCAAAATAGAGGTCTCGCCTTTGTTATATACGAGTAATTTTTAAATGTCCCTGTATATGATGTAATTTCACTATCACAGGAATGAAAATTGAAAGAAGGGTCGTCATTTTTATGTGTCCTCTTATTTGTTCTATGCAGCATTGAACAAGACACTTGTCTATTTTCATTGTCATTAATCAAATTCAAGCGGATAACCAAATGGAAATGGTATTTACCATTTTGGGTTGGTATTTACCGATCCGTTTAAGCGAGTGTAGTTATCAGTTTGGTTATAAGATCCGTGACGTCACGAATCAGCTGTTATATGTCATAGTTATCACCGCAAAATTGTGGTATTTACCCAACTCACGAGTAGTTTTATATTTCTGGTTATTATTTGAAATGTGACAAGTTAGAATTTTGGCGGGTATTGGATATTGTTATTGTACTTCAGCTTCATTTTTGAGAAAATTGATACAGGCTGACTTTAGTTTTACCATAAAGTGGAGCACCTTATTAGTTATACTCATTACGGTTGTTGGGGACACTTTAAATGTAGTTCCTATGCTTAACAAAGTATCTTGTGTAGCCATATACCACAAGAAATTAAAATATGGCCATATAAACTCACTAGATGATATCCACCTGTATACGGTTTTGCTAATTTCTTTTTTCATCATTTCTGCTGAATCAATAAATGTTTTCTTTGACATGCGGAAAAATTTAGAGAATCGAAAGTTATTATAGCTACAAAGCCATGGTTCCATCATTAAAAAAAAAATCTGAAAAAAACATGTCTCCCATGAATATTATGAAAGGTTTCTTATTTAAACTTTCCATATACAGTTGTAGACGAAAAAGCACCGATTATTAAGTGATAATAAAAATAATCAGATATTATATACGCGCTTTTCTAAAATAAACAACTTGCAACAAAACCGCGGTTAAAACCAACGCGTTCAAGCGATTCGTGTAACTGACGTCATCAACCCGTGTGTCATCTTGAACCATATTATAACCGCGGCACATAACACAGAAATTTTGGTTATTCGCTTGGATTTGATTATTGTCAGTGTAACAGTGTATATAATCAAATTCAAGCGGATAACTAAATGGAAATGGTATTTGCCATTTTGGGTCAGACGTTAAGGCGTATTTAATGTTTTTTAAATTCGTGTTGCCCATTTTTAACCAATTTAATGCTCTCTTTCAATCAGAGAAAGTTATGCTCAATATCATATCAATAGAGAGTGAGCGATTTGTACGTCATCTATGTACAAACTTTATGCGACCAGAATATTTTAAAAATGAGAAATTATATAATCTAAATCCTAATGATCCCCCACTGCTTATTACCAATTGAACAAGTGAATGTTGGTCCGCATACAATGGATGCAATAAAACACTGCAATAACACGGCAATCGAACAATTTAAATTAAAATGTGTCACATTTTACCAAAAATCGGTAGAAGAGTCCCTTAAAAGATTTCCTATCAAAGACAACTTCTTTTCAGAGCTAAAGTTTCTCTCACCGGTTGATGTGATAAACAATCGTCTTATTATAAGTGATACCTTTCATGACGCCGTTTTAAAAAATTTTGCCCTTCATATTGAAACCGAAAAGGCAATTTTGGAACTAAAGAAAATATGTATTTATTTTAGTGATAGTGAGAAAGAGGAAATTTTAAAAACAAAAAGTAATGTCATTGAATTTTGGACGTTTGTAAACGACCTCAAAAATTTTAATGAATATTTATTTCGCAATATAGGTAAACTGGCTCTGATCATTTTAACATTGCCTCATGAAAACGCTGATGTTGAGCGAACTTTTTCGTATATGCTTGATTACAAAACAAAAAAAAGAAATAAAATAATACCATCAACTTTGTCTGCACTACTTACAATTAAATTACACTTGGAATCAAAAAAACAGTGCTGTTTATCCTATAGTTTTAATGAGAATCATTTAAACAAATATAAAAAGAATTTATATAATGTAAATAAGGAAGAACAAGCTGAAGAAGAAGTAATTTCTGATTCTGACTGTGAATAAAATAAGCAAACGTAGGCATTTCCACGTTTCCGCTTCTTCTTTGTCCTTATTTTTTGTTTTTTTTTTTCTATTAAGATTAAGATATTGGTGATAGTTTCTATTTTTTTATTAGTTCCTAATTCTAAACCAAAGACAGTTTTGTTTTTTTAGAGGTATACTTTTTATGTTTTTACGAAAAATTGCAATTATATTATGTTACTGTTTGTATTTTTAGTAGGGTTTTTAGACAGTGTTTAAAAAAAAATAATATGTAAAAAATATATTTGTTGTTTATTTTAAGCCTCCCCCCCCCTTAAATTTTTAGACCGTAGCGGCATGTAGCGGAATTTTGCGATACGTGTGACGGATATTTTAAACTTCGCTCTGGCAACACTGCTTGGATTTGATCTATGTTTTGTGACTGAATCTGTCATGAACGTGTGTTATTAAATTTTCCAACATTGAACAGAAACAACTGCTTTTATGGAAAATCTTTAAAAAAACACAAAATGAAAACGAATGTGAATATTGAAAATTACCGTAAATTAGTACAAACATATATAGATTTGGTAGGTAAGTTTAAAATATCGAAAACTAATTTTAACTCTATTTTTTTGCAGCATGTTTATAATGCAGCCTTATTTTGGGCGGATAAAGTTGTTGCTCTTACTGGAAATCCTAGGGATGTTTATTGGTTAGCTCAGTGTATGTATCTGCTAAAACAATACCACAGAGCTGCATACCTATTGCGATCAAAGAATCTGGACAAGGTAAATTTCTCAGATGATTTAGTTTGAAGTCCACTACAAAATTTTTATTTTTAGGCAAATGTACTTTGTACATATCTCACTGCTCAATGTTTTTACAAAGCTAATGAACTAAGTGAAGCACTGAAGCTTTTAAATTCTACAGATCCATTTATGGTACTTCCGAAAGATGAGATGACTTCGCCCTGTCCTTCAGAAACTGATATTAAGTTGTTTGATGATACACCTAAAAGTGTAAGTAATACAGTTTTAATTTCCAGTTCCAATACAGCCTCTTATCAATTTACTGCACCAGAAAGTAATGCATTACAACCTTATATAGCTCTTTCAAATAACAACATGTCTGCTAAGTGAAAAACTCTCACATTACAAAAGTCTATGTTCTGTAGCATGCTTATTAAGTGTAAAATTTAATAAACTTGTAATTGAAGGTTGTTACATCACTTAGTAGTTAAAATAAGTTTTGTCCACAGTCAATTGTAACAATATTACTACAGTACGCTTGATTAGTAGAGTATGTTTTGTACAAAATAAAGGCAACATGAGAGGACATTTTGTTTTTAGCAAGCATATTCGTCATTTTTATTATTAAAAGGTAAGATATTAGAAGCTATGGATAATCGAGGACTAGCAGCTGATTGTTATAAACAAGCCCTGAGAACAGATGTTTATTGTTATGAAGCTTTTGAATCTTTAATAAAATATCAAATGCTTACTGCTGCTGAAGGTAGGATTCTTTATTTTTATAAGTTATAAACATCATTTTTCATACCACCAAAATTGAAATAGTGTGACATAAGACAAGAGAAATATACATACTAAAATTAAAAACCAAAATATGGATGGATTTTATTTTCTATGACTAATATATTTATTACTGTGATGTCTTTAACTATAACTACCCATATTTCAGTAGTCTATCTCGCTTAATCATATTTTAAATGGCACATAGTGGATATATCCTTAAATATTGAAGTCAATATCAACTGTGTATCAAAAAAAAAGAAGAAGACTAGCAACGATTTCCTCTCTGATGCAAGACCTGAAGGTTATCACTGCTTGGGGACGCAACAATCTTGTACAGTTTAATGCTTGCAAAACACAGTTCTGTACTTTGACGAACAAACAGCATCCTAGTGCTCATTTGGTTTTGATAGATGGCTGAGTTCTGCCAAAGAGCCATTCATATCGGGTGGTCAGAGTCCAGATCACCGAGGACCTGATCTGGCATGAACACATCTTGTCAATAGCTGCAGCTGCTGAGAAAAAGCTAGGCTATTTGTTTAGGGCTAAGAAGTACTTTTCTCCACCTGACTTTCTTACTCTATACAAGGCCCAGATCATTCCTAGCCTCGAGTACTGCTCATACTTTTGCGGTGCTGCTGCCCCGACTACATTTTTATTTCAGTGCTTTATAATGTTGCCTTTACTTAGTTTATTTTATGAAGTTTGTTATTCACTATTCTATCTAAAAGATATTTTATGCACACTATCAATTAAACTCTTTCACTTGAAATCACTGTTTTGTTTTAGAAGAAGAATTACTCACTTCACTTCCAATAGATAGCCAATGTTCTAGTGAAGAAGCAGAAATTCTGCTAACATTATATGAATCTAAATTGAAAAAGTATCACACACCTGTGTTACCAAAACCTAATGAGAGCAAAATATTATATGGTAACTCCAATTCTTTACCAAACAATAAATTGTTGAGCAGTTTGAACTTGACATCACATAGTTTATACACTCCAATAATTCCTGCATCCATCAGTACTCCAGTTGTAACAAGGAATAATGATAAGAATATCATGAAAAGCAATGAAGCTAAAAAAAAGAGCATGCCAATGGACATCAGCAGTAGTAATACACTGCTGATGAAGCTGAAAAATAGCTTGGATTTACAAGTTGCTGAAGCTGAGAGGTTGTATTATAACTGTGATTACCAAGCATGCAATTTGTTAACAGAGGCTGTTTTGAAAATGGATCCATACCATGATGCTTGTCTACCAATACATATATCTTGCCAGGTCGAATTGAAGCAGAGTAACAGTATGTGAAATAAACATCATATTGTAACTGTTTGTCCATAACTTACCTATCTATTTTAGAGTTATTCACATTGGGACACAACCTAGTTGACCTGTATCCAAACTTGGCAATACCATGGTTTGCTGTAGGCTGCTACTACTACATTATAGGTAACTTGAATTGAAAACATAAAAGCTAATAATAAAACTGAAGGGACGTAAACGCTTATTACGCCCGAGATTCATACAAAATGTTATCTACAACTGCCTAAATAGCGCGCAGTGCATTACATACCTGGTATCAGAAGTGGGCTCGCACATTATATGCGTCGTCACTATGCATCTCTGGTTATAAAATAATAGCCTTCTGAAGCAGGGAGTATATACAGAGATATCCAAATTTCACTGGCGAGGTAATGTGTATGAGAGAAAAGCGTGCAATCCGCCGATCACAATGCGGCAAGCCCCAGCTGCATCCATGGTCTCGTCTCTCGGGTTGCTAGACAACGTGGTGCTTCTTTTTCTTTCTAATATACGTATTTCACGCTTCTCTCTCGTACACATTACGACGTCAGTGGTATATGGATTTCTCTGAAGAGTTTTTTCACATAGTATACAGGGTGTTCCTTAATGATATGCGAATATTTAAGGGTGTGAATCTACATGAAAAATTAATGTTAGTTTGCTTTATAAACTATGGTCCAAAAATGTTTCCTTACAAAAACTCGAGGTGTTGAAGTTTTAGGAAAAAAATGGAAATTAATTAATATTTTCAGAACTGCTACAGATATTTCACTGATATTTAGTACGTAGTGAAAGTTAATAAAGTTGCATATGTTTCTATGCAAAAATAATTTTTAGCTTTAACAGTGGCGTGCGTACGGGTATTGACTTCGATATTTTTTAAGAAAAAAATGGTACGCTAATGGTTTTTTTGTAAATAAAAAATATTTTTGAATTTCCCGTTCAATTTAAAATGAATGATCTCTCTTGAATTGTTTTCCTTCGATGCGCCATTTTTGAGTGAAAAAATAAAAACTGTTGTATATATATACATATATACTAAGTGACATATAAATCCGAACACCCAGTTTAAATGGTTTTATTTTAATAAAAGTTGCTGAATGTATTTATCTTACTGTAAATAACAAGTGAAAAAATTTTCAGCCTTATCAGTTGGACATTCCGGTTTTTATACTGCTTTTTTTTAATTCACTAACGCTCTAAAAATGAATATTTCAGCCGCAGTAAAGAATCAACGTTGGCGGATTTTGGTTCTTGACATCCTTTACGATCGGTTACGATGCCTAGAGTACGGAGTCCTGTACGATTTCGTCAACTTAGTGAGTTTGATAGGGGCCGTATAGTGGGAGTTCGGGAAGCTGGTCTTTCGTTTCGGGCAATTGCAGTTAGAGAGCAAAGAAGCGTAGACACTGTGGTTAGGTGTTGTCAGGCATGGCTTCGAGAAGGCCGTACGCAAAGAGCAAGGGGCACTGGACGCCGCCGTAGAACAACAGACCGTGAAGATCGCCGCCTAAGATTATTGGCCTTAAGGGACCGTTTCTCCACTACCAGGTCCATTGCAAATTAATGGTTTGCAGAACACGGAAGACCTATTGGCATGCAAGGTTTTACCGACGAATGAGAAGTTTTGGCTTGTTTTCATACCGGCCACACTGGGTCCTCCCTTTAACTCGAGAACACCGACGTAATCGCCTTGAGTGGTGCAGACAACGGTCACTCTGGGATCAGGAATGTAACAGTATTGTCTTTAGTGACGAGTCTCGATTTTGTTTAGGCATGCACGATGGTCGTGCCAGGGTTAGAAGGCGACGTGGTGAAAGGAGGAATCCACAGTTTTTTGTTGAAAGACATGTTCATCACACTGTTGGAGTTATGGTTTGGGGTGCTATAGCTTATGGTTCCAGGTTACCTTTAATCTTCATCAGAGGTAACATGAACGCGCAGCGTTATATCCACGAAGTTCTAGAACCCCATCTTTTACCCTATCTTGACACCCTGGCAGATCCAACTTTCCAACAACATAATGCCCGACCACATGTTGCAAGAGTCACAATAGACTTCTTTCAACATAATGATGTCACATTGTTACCATGGCCACCAAGATCTCCCGACTTATCCCCAATTGAGCACGTGTGGGATATGATGGGCAGGAGATTGCTCAATTTGCAACGTCCTTCTCAGACTCTAGAAGCACTTCAAGAGGAGTTGGTGGTTGCCTGGAATGAGATACCACAGGAGAACATTGACCACCTGATCAGAAGCATGCCTAGGCGCGTTGGAGAATGCGTAGCACATCAGGGTGCATCCACACATTATTAAAGGTCAAAGGGCTTTAAAGCAGTGCAATCATTTTGAAATTTTGATCATTTACTTATTATGCTTCATTAAGTACTTATACAAAATTTTATTAAAATAAAACCATTTAAACTGGGTGTTCGGATTTATATGTCACTTAGTATATATATAAAGAGAAAATGATCATGCGGAGGAAGGTATATAACAAAAAGTAGGAAAATAATGGGAAAAATCCGCAAAAAGGGGGAAAGTGGATTCGAGCAGAAAATAGGATAGGCAACCCGAGCGATACGTATTTCTGCTGGTTGGCTTCATCAGGCCAGAAATGAATGCACATATTAAACTACAAATGTAGATACCCATGCCCACACATCCGGATACGGGTGTAACCTGAGGTACGAAGTTTTTTTTTCCTCCAACTTCGTTTCCTCAGGTCCTTGATATAATATAATGCTAAGAAAGGAGTCCCCCTTTATTCAGCGTTGATTCATCCCATCTATTAGTCCAAGCTAGATAAAAAAAGGTGAAAAAAACTTTTTCTAATGACAAATACATTAAAAGATATCGCCAGATATGCGTTGTTTTTTATAAACAATGGGAAAAGGCCATAATTAATTTTTTTGCTTGTATAATTCTCAAATTAAATTTCATAAATAATCGGTAACCTGGAGATTTTAGACCATAAAAAGACCTACATTTTTGTTTTTTCAAGATATGAAGTCGATAAACAATTAAGCTAAAAATATCTGAGAATGAGAGCATCATTGTTAATAAGTGTGCTAAATTTCAGCAGGATCGGTCCAATAGTTTATGTAAAAAGCTAATTATTTGTAATCAAGATATGGTCCTAAAACATTTTACAAAAGTGAAATGGATTCTTGAATGTTTCAACTTCAAGAATTTATGCCAAAAATAATTATTTATTTCAAAATTGTTGTTAAAAAATAGCCATTTTTATAGTTATAAACATTTACAATAGCTCCGTTATTTTTCAGTATAATTTATTTTAACAAGTTGATCTGGATAGGTGGTTAAAAGACGCATATTTTGAAAAACCTACGACCAGTAGGAGCCAAGATACATTTTTTTAATTCATATCTCCTTTATAAACATTAAGACTCGAAATTTTCACAGATTTTAAGAAATGATCTCAATTTTATGATCCAATTTATAATGTTACTATTAGTTCAAAGGTCTTCAAGAAATAGCCACCTAAAGTGAAGGTACCCACTTGAGTATTTCTGGGTGAGGTGGTGGGGGAATCGGCTCTGACTCGATTTATTTTTTGAAATTGAGTATTTTAGCCATTTACAGTTATTATTGCAATAGTTATAAACATTTAGTCAGTATTGCTAAAAAACTCCGTATTTAGATTAATTGTTTATCGATTTTAATTCTTGAAAAATAAAGTTGAAGGTCTTTTTGTCCTCTAAAATCTCTAGTTTACTTATATTTATAAAATTTAATGTAAGTATTATACAAGCAAAATACTGAATTTTGTGCTTTTCTCATTGCTTATAAAAAACAACGCATATCTGGATGTATCTTTTTATCTATTTGACAATAGAATGACATTTGTCATTTATTTAAAACTTTCAGATATCTGCTAAACTCTTTTAAACGAAATACCTATTTTTTCTCTGTAGTCTGGGCTATGATGAATTGTTTGTTGTTTAAGGAAAAAGTGACTTAGCAAGGAGGTATCTGTCCAAAGCAACTGCATTAGATCGACTATTTGGACCAGCTTGGTTAGCCTATGGACATTCATTTGCAATAGAAAATGAGCATGATCAAGCTATGGCGGCTTACTTTAAGGCTTCTCAACTCATGCGAGGGTATGTAAAATACATTACATAATTCATAACCAACATACTATAATTACTCTTATTTCTCCAATACCTTTTTTATTTTCTTTCATAGGTGTCACTTACCCTTATTGTATATAGGTCTAGAGTGTGGATTGACAAACAATGTTAACTTGGCTGAAAAATTTTTTCAACAGGCTCAACACATTGCTCCAGATGACCCCTTTATTATGCATGAAAAAGGAGTGATAGCTTTCCAAAATTCACAGTAAGTATGATTATTGGATAGGTAGATGCATCTTCATTATTTTTATGAATCCTAAAGAAATGTTTTGTAGAGATTTGTACATTAAATTTAATTTAACAGTGTGATCTATTTCAAGATATGAAACGGCTGAAAAGCATTTTCGAGAAGCACTAGAAAGAGTAAAAATAATAAAAAAAGGAATCATACCTTTGAAGTGGTGCCCTTTGTTGAATAACTTGGGACACACTTGTAGAAAACTGAAAAAATATGAAGATGCTTTGGAGTTTCATAACAAGGTAAGGTAGTGAAAACTTTAAACAGCTGATTCAATCGAGATTGTATTTTATCAATGCTAGTTATATTCTTCTTCTGATTGAAAGTGTTGTATCACGGCGAGCTTGTATGTTTCAATGTGCCTGAGAATTCCTTGAGGATATCAAATTATGACTAAACTATGTGCTATCTAATACCAGAATCAAGCACTGTGAGAGTGAATGGAAACTATCTGTTGGACTGTAAAAGTAACTCAGTTCGCATCGAAAGCCGACGAGTAGACAATATTCTTCATTTCACGGTTTTTGCACGTCGCAATGCTATACGAAATGAATAAACAGACTAGTGGTACCATGCGCGTATTTAACTTCGCTATGGAAAATTGGAAATTGCGCAAGCCTAACTCTAACGCAGCAGCTAGTTGCTTTTGCACACACACATGAATTGAATGATAGATGGCTGTTTTCCCTCACTTTCGGAAAATACTCTTAATTCAGACTGCCGTCGTTGAAGATCAACATGGGTAAACCCAAATCACATGCCCATGGCAAGCATCTTGTCATTTTTTTTGAACTTCCGCCACCACAAAGACCTAAGCCCAAACACCCATGGGGTACCGTGGGGCGATAGAGGAAAACGGGATACACGGACTCTAGCAAGGGAACACACATTCTGGCCCCGCCTACGAGATCGCTGGGTGGTACCTCCGCGTACGACAGTCAGAGACCGTCTACCACCTACGGACAATCACAACATCCATAGCCAAGAGAAAAATTTCTCTTTGGACGGGATTTAAACCCTCGCAGCGCACGGCGACTGATTAGGAGACGACGCGTCTACCACTGCGGTCACCGATGCTGCCTAATACTTGTGACAAGCATAAATGTGAAAAACTTATACCTTGACGAGAAAATGTCTATGGTGGTAAGATAGAACTAAAAAAACGTATGTCTTTACATAAACGTTCGCCCCTACAGGCCGATTGCATAATATGTCTGAGGGAGATAGACATATGAACTTTTGTAGTTTTACTGTAACCCGTCAAAAACAGTAGAAGAACCTGTATCATATACTATATGTGTCAAACTCAAACGGCATCTAGCGGTCGCAGTGATGACTCAGCTTTCGGTACGAACTGAGATACTTTTACAGTTCCAACAGATAGCTGCCATTCACTTTGGCAGTGGTAGGTTCTGGTAATAGATTGCACTTGTGCGATCGTATTTGGATAGACCTTATATCTGATGTGAATTCTCAGTTGACATCCAGCCGGCAAAGTATCTTTTACTCTGAAATACAAAATATCTGTTTAATTTTAGGCACTGTTGTTAGCTCCTCAGTCAGCAGGCACTTATTCAGCCATAGCATTCGTTTATGTACTGAAAAATAACCATGATGAAGCTGTGGAATGGTTTCATAAAGCATTAGGATTAAAAAGAGATGACACATTTAGTACAACAATGTTGAATTATGTAATAGAGCAGTTGACAGAAGAAAATGACCCTTATCCAGGTAAAAATTCGCCACAGTCATGTGATACTTTGTAAAAACAAAATTCAGGTGTATCAAAATTTAAACGTGAATCAATATGATATTTGTATTTTAGACTGTCCTTCCGAGATTCCCAAATACAATATTGAATCGAAAAATACAACAAAAAATGCGTCCCAAACTATGGCAGAAAGCAGGAGTATGGCTGTCCAAAGTGATAATAATGGAATGTCAGACATGAGCATGAGTATAGAAGCAACTAATTCAACAACATGATATTTTTTGGAGATTTACTTTTAGGCTGCAAGTGAGATTATTAAGGAATAACTGTATGTATTTGTATTGAGTTTTTTTTTATTATAAAGATAAACAAATATGACGTATTATGTCTTCAGCTTTTATCAATTTTAGGTCGTCAATCAATTTGTACCGCTATTTTTATTTCCAAATGACGTGGTGTCTAGAGTCGTCTCAGCCGTTTTGTTCATTGCGTTGACTTGAGATTTTTCGCCTTCCTTTATTTTCAAAATAGGGCGGAACAATGCAATGATGTAAAGATAGGCTTTTACATTTCCAGCATTAGGTTGCATGGCCTCTAGTCTATTTACAGTAGCGAACAAAAGTTTGGAAACAAATAGTTTTGGCGTATTTATTCGTTCTGCGATGCTCTGATATTGTGAGCGGCAAATATTAACATCATTGAGAATGGCAAAAGTAAAAGAATTTTTGAAAGATTTAAGAGACAAAGTGATTGAATTATTTATAAGTGCTCTCAGAAATGTTGACATTTCTCAAAGATTAAAAATCACGATTTCGAAAATTATTAGTAAATATCAAGAATACGGATCAACAGCAACGCGGCCCAGGTGCGGAAGACGAAAAAAAAAACGATTATGTTTTGGATCGGTATATTAAACGTTTGTTCCATGAAAATCCTCGAATGCCAGTCACACAGATTTTCCAAAGAATCGTAGAAAAGGGTGCCGAGAATCTTTCTGTTAGAACAGTGCAGAGACTCCTCGAACGGGTTCACTTGTTAAAATTGTGAGGAAAATGGATCAAAAACTTTACAAAGATATTCTTAGTGCTTCCTTTTGCCGAAGAAGAAATGCCTTTACGATGGACATTCCAGCAAGAGAATGACCTTATACAGATACCTCAAAATTCATAGAGGACTGGTTAACACTAAGAAATGTTAATGTTCTTACATGGCATTCGCAATCCCCGGGCCTAAACCCTATAGAACATATCTGGGAGCACGTTAAAGGACAACTGACAAGAAAAACTTTAAAAAATAGGAACGATTTATTTGATTATGTAAAAAATATTTTTCAAAATATCCCAACAGACGTCTGTAAAAAATTGGTGTCTTCTATGAGCAGATGTCGGGCAGTGTTGAATGTTGAAAGCTATGCTACCAAATATTAGCTAAACAGTATTTTTTGTAGAGTTATGTATTTAATTTTGTAATAAAAAAAATACGTTTGTCGTCTCATTTTGGTCATAATATAATATGAAGGTATAATGCTAGTAGCTCAGCAAACACAAATTGTCATTTGTATCCTCAAGACCGTAAGCAAACTATATTAGCAAAAAATAGTCATTAATAATAAAGTATAAAAAATTAGCAGACTTTTTAAAAATTACTAAGAATGTTTACAAACGTTTGTCCGCTAGTGTATACGACCGGGATAAAGTTTGTCCGCCAAATGTGGTAACCCGGATACCAGGCGAAATGACAAAGAAATCAGTCAGGTATAAATTAAGGGGGAGAACATAGTAAGCGAGCGGGTTTAAGCGGTGCCAGAAGTTGAAGTCAGACGATCTAAAAAAATCGAACAGGAATGGCTAACCTTAATAATAATAACGTCTTTATTTAAATACAAACACATAAGCAGCGAAGTTTAGCCAAGGCTATTCTTATCCTTAACTGCTAATGCCGGATACATTAGCAGAATAAAAATAATAGCCCTGTCATGTACTTCATAGTTGAAATCGGAATTTACCTCTTAGGTACTCAGGTTTCGATGATATGAAAATTTTGTGAACTAAAACTAAGTACTAACTAGACTACCTAACATAAGCCAATTTAATTCCTTATATTTTTCCCTAATGTAATCATATATTCGCAGATAATATGGTTGCGTGTCATCAGAGAATGTACTTCTGAATTACTTACAGCTTCATATAAGTCAAAGGTGTATATTAAAAAGGTTACAGGACCTAACACTGAGCGTTGGGGAACACCTGGTATTATCGTAATATCAGACTGTAGGTTATTAATGCTGACAAATTGCTTGCAACTTGACCAATAACTGTGAAAGAAACCCGCTGCATTATCATCAAAGCCTATGTACTTCAGCTGCGGGCATAATAGTTTATGATTAATTCCGTCAAGTGATTTGGAGTCAAGTGATACTACTTACTGCTGTAGCCGTTTTTTGTCCGGTGTCCGAATAACAGCATCACAAAGATCTAAGTGAGCTGAACTGGTGCTTTGGTGCTTCCTGAAACTCGAGAGACACAATTTTTTTCCTAGAATTTTTGAAAGCATGGGTAACAAGCTTATCGGTTTGAGATGTTTCAGTAGGATTTGATATTTTTGAGACAGGTACAATTAAGGCCATCTTCCACTGTTGAGGGTGGTATCCTTTTTCTAAACGCAAATTTATTACGTGAGTGACTTGAAAGAAAGTTACAGGAAGGCTCACTTTGATCATAGTTAATGATAGTGTTGCCGACATAGAACCGACATACATTTTCTGAAACAGTGTAGGATTATTTTTGTCAGTTAGACAGTTGTAGTGTACGCGTCCCGGCAGCTTACATTACAAATAGTATGACTGATCACACTCCGATCGTTCTGCAATCAGGCAGCAATATATAAAAATATATCGCGAAAGTCAAACAAGCGTTTAACTATCACCGTATCTTGCATAGGCTGGCCGCTATTGCTGGCAATGTTGCTGGCTACTCTACTGCAACTACATAATGCAGTAAGAATATTATCCGAAGCATCTTATGTCAAAAAGTTCCTATAGTGTAAATCGGTAGTCATAAATACGTTACCTAGGTTCGAATTCTGGACTTTAGTATAGTAAGTTCGGTAGCATGAAGAAGTACGTGAAACTTCCTGTTACTCATGCGTATCGTCATTTGAGTGCCGTTGAATAATACTTGCATTAATATTTTGTTCAGCATGGTCTACGTTATATAAGAATCCGTGTGCATTCTTCAGACTAGTGATAATTATACCGTAAAGTATTTTTTACACCAAGGATTCATGTTTGAAACCAATACACTTCCAGAACGGTTACGAAATAGACCGAGTGGTAGCGATCATTTTGACTGGTTGTGCATAATATATCTTCCTGACGCAAACTAAAAAGAAATACAGTGTATAACTTGGGAACTAAAAAAACATCTAGTTATATGGGGTGTGTTCATGCAAGTTCAAAAACATACTTCATTATTTGAACTCAAAAGCCATTCAAATTCAAATTCTTTGGCACGTGCGCATATAAGTAAAACATGCGCACAAGAGGAAGGCGATTTCGTGAAGTGAATCTCGTAAAGATCGGAAATGGCAACGGTCGTCTTCAGTACCTCGACAAAGAATCCTAGTTAAACTTTGTACAATATATTCGCTAAGGCAAGTGTGGTGAACCTAAGAAGAAGCTGAGAAGAGAGAGGAGCTCCTCCAGACCAGGCGACAGGAACACCCAGGTACGTGCCAATCCTACATTGTCTTTGTATGGCACGGGTGTCGATTACCTTATTACCTTAATTATATCTGAACGCGCTTACAGTCCCGCGGCTCTCCACAATTTAGAATCAACTTTGCAATAACAGGGTGGGTTATTCATAAATGAGGATAAAGGTCAGTACACAAAACTGCAAAAAACATTTGACGCTAACAAAAAATTGGAAGTATTAGATTAGAGGAGGGGAAGGTATGGAAAGTTGAACCAGGTGAAACTTATGTGTATTTGAGATCTTGAGCATAATTGTAATAAGCAGCAGATGTGCAGGGTCATTGAATAGAATATTAAGATCGAAAAATATATCAGAAAAAAACAAAAATTAGACTTTACGAAACAGTTATGAGACCAACCATGATCTACGAGGGTGAAACGTGAATAATGACAAAAAATGTGTAAGACAAAATTAAAGTGTGGGAAGCTAGACATTAAGAAACATGTTTGGCGGCAAGAAGTGTTTGACGTACAAATGAAGAAATATACAACCTCTATGGTAAATCACTTGTAAGCCAAGTAATAAAAGCGCAACAATTGCGTTGGTAGGGGTACCTGATGATGCTGGATGAAATAAGCTTAATAAAGGTCAACGGCTGACATATTCCTGAAGGGAGACGGCAGAGGGATCTAAGACATATCTACAAGAAATACTAACAGTGAAAGTGTATATATACCTGGATTTGCAGAGTAATAGAACAGATTTTCAATGATAATATATGTGACAGTTGGTGCTTTTAATTATTGTTGCATAAAATAAATATGTTTGACGCGGATATATCAAAATTCTGCATGTGACGCAGCACACAATCCAGTAAAGCCTGAAATAAAAAGTTCGTACACACAAACCGCCTGTACCTAATGATAGATAAGGAGATTGCGCATGTATGTTAATATTTGTTTTCAGTTGTACATCTTATGCTTAAAGCTGTCCACATATTTTCAGTCGTTAAAATCTCAAGATGCTCCAGGATCGATGACGTACGCATACTCCATAGGATTGAACAAAATGCATCATCTGCATATGCTTGGATGTTGAAATAACTAGCACGGTAACAAATAATACTTGAGGTCTTTGTCAGGTTGCAATCTGATGTTTTGTTACGAATTTGCAAATAACTACCATCGTTAAAAGAATAAAAAACATCTGCTTTAATATGTTTTGCGCAACATAGTTGACAAGTCTTGGAATCAATTTAAAATCTTTTGTAATGGTAGTGGTGGGAGTACTTGCAAACACTTTAAAACCAGAAGGCAAAAAGGTAAGTTTGCATGCAATCACTATTTAGGTTCTATTATTTGATGCATAATTTATAACTTGCATTTTTAAATAGTGATTTTAGATGTCCGCAAAATTTGTATAAGTACAACTGAAACAATAATTTTCTAGTATGGAATGTTCTAGTGATCATGTCAAAATGATTAGAAACTCGATGAAATGTAAAAATAAATTTTTAATGTTGGCGACTCCAAAAATGTTTATTATGTCGAACGTGATGTATCAAATACGGCATAACTATAGGAATGGAATTTTAATGCGTATTTGACTTTATTGTTCTTGAACTGTGCGAAAGTGCTTAATCCAAGTGAAAAGTAGTTTTTCGAAACAAACGCAACGATTTATGAAAATCATAATGTTTAAATTTTTTTTCAATGGTCAAAAATGATCAGGATCATGACTAACATGCAAGAAAATGAACGCAAGTAATTTAAAAATCTCTAAAATGATAAAAAAAATCGGTAAAACGTATTGAAAAATAGTTAAAATCTTTAAATATGGTCTCCCACCACGCCGACTCCTTGGAAAGAGATGTAACTCAGTTTTTTTGCATTTCATTAGATGTTTCAAAGGTCACTGTCATAAAAAAGATTTAGCATGATTGCGTTCATCCACTTCTACATCCCTTAAACTAACCCCCCATATCAACAAAGATCCATAATTTTTTGCTGTTTGTGTAATAATTCTCAGATCCTGATCATTATTATAAGAATATGGATTCCAAAATATAAAAATTATCGCCTATCTAAACTCGTCCAAAGCATCTATTTACATCCAGCTAGCGCAAAAGGCCCGTTACTAGTTTTTTGCATTGATAACTATTCCTTATCGACGTTTCCCATCTCCCAATATCGCACAGCAACATCAGAAGAAGTGCACGTGCTACGTTGCCCCACTCCTCGTTTTTGCACGAATGGCATGCGTGGAAACCCTTTCGGTGTGATCCGCATTTGTTCATTCGTTTTCTCTTCCTTAATCATCAGTCGCTACTTGTCGGTGCAGAACGGTTATAATTTTCTTGTAACGTTTAGTTTTATGGTGCGAAATAGTGTGCGTGAATGATGCCTGCACTACAAAAGGTAAGTTTTTTATTTAGAATAATAATTTATTAATAATGTGCTATACTTTACAATTACAAATGCATCATTGACATAATTGTAAAGACCAAAATACAAGTTGAGCATCTTGTTAAAAAAAACAATCGCAAAATATGTACGTATGCTGAATGCTATAATGCTTAACATAGCAGCATTTGCGGTTTTAAATAATGGGTCATATAAATTCGTAATGAAAAAAATCATAACGATATTTTTTGAGCAAGTTATTTGGAGAACGATTATTATGAGTTTCAAAAAATAAATAGGGATTATTTATTTGGATGTTTGCTTAAACTTTTTTTATATATTAACTACAATTATTTGTATCCATAAAAATGTTGTATTTTTCTAATAAGTTGTAACTATGCTTATGTTCAGCAACGTGTTTGATCACAAAGAGTGAACATGTTTTGATAGCCATATAAAAACACTGTTTTCAGAAAAGCCTTATGAATCTTTTCGGAGTATCTGCTAGATAATAAAAATAAAATGATATTTTTGCGAATTTATGCGAATGTAAAATGCTATTGTTTAGTTACTTCCATATTAGAGAAAAATGACAGGAAAGTAAACGAGTGTGATAAACGCAATTGTATTTCTGTACCTCAGAGCCAGACTAGGTTAAGTCCAAATAAGTAGTTTTGAGATAATTATAAATGAAATATTTTTCTTGCATTGTATTGAATACGACTTGATATGAGTTAAAAAGTAGTAACTTCCTTATTATTAAAGATAGATGGACGCTGCATGTAGCAAATGAATATTCACAATATTATCGTAAGTTTAACATATTAAACTCATTTTTGACCAAAATGGACTTGACTTAGTCTGGCTCTGGGGAACAGATTTACATTGTTGGAGGGGGAGTGTGAAACAAACTAAAAAATCAAACTTTTATTATTCAAAAATTAAACCTTGATGAAAACGATCACCTCTAGTGACTCCTCAAAAAAATCTATTTAATTATCTTTTACGACATCGATAGGCGCGAAAGTAGTTCCGGAAATATTGTGATCGTGTAAAATTTTGAATTCGAGATCTTGCATTATTTTTGATGTGACCTGGAACTTATTTTCGTGTCTCTGTAAATGTCGCTCTGACCGTGCGAGTATGCCCCATCTTCAACTCGAAAAGTGTCAGTCAGGTTTTGATGAAATGATGGGAATCGATTCAGGGACGGTGGAATAATCAGCAAAAGAGCAATAATCCTTAACCATTCCTAGCTTTGAAAATACGAGTAAATAAAAAAAATTAAATATAAGATCACTGGGATATGATGAAATTTTGACACAGAGTTACTGTACTATGACAAGGAAAAAATATTTGGATTTCGTAAATCGGGGCAGTGGCGACCGAGCAAGAAACTAATAATTCCAAAGCACACACAAACATGATTGATAGATTGATATCCTTCGAGTTTAGGATAATATATCGCAGTCAAAACTTTTGTAGGTGTAAAAATTTTGACGGTTTTAAACTTGTGACCATGTTACAGCATTGTCCGAAATGTTCAGGGAATTTCAAAAACCTTGAAAGTGGGCATTTCTCATATTTCACTTATTTTCAATTTTCGTGTACCAAAAAGTATCTATAAATAGATCTTGGCAATTTGAGGGAAATATAATGAGTTCAATCGAATTTTATGGTATAGCTTCCTTAATATAATACAGGTAGACGAGTTCAAAGCTGTGTCATATAATCAATTCAAGCTAGTAAAAATCGAAGCGTTGATTTAGTTTAGACATGTTTTTTAGAATATCCGCCGTTGGTCGTTACCATAACTAAAATATAGCATAAAAATGAGACATAACTGAAGCAGCAGTGTGATTATCATGGTATCCATTTTAAAAGATCTGTAACTGCGCCTACCTTATGCCGTAACAACTTATTTATTTTTTAATTCGCCACAAGCTGCGTTTATCAGATAAGCATAAAAAATGTTTGGCAAAATAACAATACATCTCGATATAGAAACTCTTCCCCATTTATCTGCAACGAATTATTGCATTAGAAGCCATATGGCCTATATGTACCCAGAACACTATGTTTTACAGAAAGCAATTAAAGTGATCGCCAGGTTTATTATAGTGCAGGAAGATAAAATGAGCTCATTGTGTTGTCATTCATTTTTATAGAAATCGATAAATCGATTATGACATTTATTGTTTTGCCATGACAAATAATACCTACTGAATATTTTGCTACCGAAATTCGACAATCTCGGACAAGAAACTCATTATAAAAACATCAACAATCTTTTTCTGATTATTTTGTGCCTACATACTACACATCTACTGTTTTTTAACCCTTATGTATTTTTTCCATTTTGCAAGCAAAATGTAAGCTTCTAGTTGAGCTGTATCATTCGTTTTTAGTACCTTATTGGCTAGACTATAGAATAGTTGTGGATCGTTGTAGCGGTACGCCGATTCGTCAAGGAGTTGGATATGATTTTGTTCCAATCATTTAACAAATGGACTCAATATGTTAATTTCCAATCATCTCCAGGAGAACAGGGCGATTATAAATTGTACCATAAAGCACAAAAGTACTACTAAAAGTTCGCTTTCATATACTCGTACGTAAAAATGTTTTTTTTTTGTTAATTCAAGCTGGACCAAAATAAAAAAAAATGTTTGGAAATTCCTGATATGATCCAGTCAAATCTTAATCCCTTTATATCCGACATAGGGTGATAAGAAACGTTGAAAAATGGTGGGAAACAAAATAATGTAATTTTCAAAAAATTATGACACCTTTATAAACGGTGCACCTAGGCATAAAAATAATCAGAAATTTACATACATAAGGTTATCTGAAACTCGTTATATTAATATTCTGGTCCTATCATTATAACGCTCTCACGTCGTTCTCCAAATTAGTGTAGAAAACGCCAATAAACAGACAGAAATGCAGTCAGACAGACGGAAATTAGTGGCAAGGATTTTCGTATCGTGGAGATCATAACACAAAGAACATTGGATTCAAAAACTTTCGTTGGTAATCATCTAAATTACAGAATATAGCTACAGTTCATTGTTTACTAGACTATTATCCATGTGCACGTTAATAAGCGTTAGGTGATGTTATGGAAGAATATTTTTACGTACACTGACCATAGTGCGCTTTAATAGAATCATGTGGACCGTGATATCCAGCTCCGTTATAATTAAATGATTTGTGCGCTAAGCCAATATTTCGCATTGTAGAACAACAGAAGATCATCCACTATAAACGTTATCTTTTTGTTCATATTGTAGCCCGGTCGCAAAAGCGTAGTGAAGTATTCCGCCGTGCTAAGGGCAGAAAGGGGATGTGCACCTAACATTAGATCGAGGAAAAGGCGTTCAAAGTTTAAACCTTTGAATCGTTCTTACAGATACTCCAAACAAAAATCTTTGCCGACGAGTAGAAAAAAAATGAGACTGATTCAATAACCAAATATACCCGAAAACTGCTGACCATAACAAAACCATTCGAAATTAAATTGATAGATGCAAAACCATGTTGCGCATTCTATTGCAAACAAATAGGATCCTCGCGTACCAGTACATGGTTAATTTAATTTTTGAGATTTTTCCTAGGATTTTTTGTAGTTTACAAAAAATGCAAGAGTTCCATAAATATAAGAGGAAAAACTGCTACTATGGTGCTCGAAATACGTTCGATGCAAGATGTATCAAACCTTACTTTATTTTTTACTGGTGTTCATGGCAAAATGACATAGTTTACGAACTAACCTAAAGGAACGTACAGTGGGTACCAAAAAGTATTGGAACACCCTATTTTTTTTCTTGAATCTCAGTAACGAAAAGATGAATTTTTTGATACTGAATTTATTTGCAAACTAACATCCTTATGGTTGTTTTTGACGGCAGTATAATGGGTAAATAAAAAAATAAGAATAATGATAGAAATTATGAAAGTAAATAAGGCTAACACAATTTATCTACATTTAGTACCTTGTTATCACACCATTTTCAACAATTATGGCCCGACGCCATCGTGGCATAGAGATTATCATTTATTCCTGATCCAATTTCGTGCGATTCTTGCATAAGAACAACTTATCTAACTGTCTTTTCGCGGAATTTTTACTTTTCCAGGCCTTAAGGTCCAGCAAGTACCACAAATGTTTAATGGGATTGACATCGGGAATTGCGTTGCAGGTTTGTGTTGTGCAGCACACCATTGATTTGTGTTGAATGCTGCTGAAAGATAAATATATCCCTGTTCCCCATTTTTTCTGTACTGCGTTCAAGTTAATGCGCCAAATGTTTGTCTGCATTCACAATGCCTTCAACGAAGCTTAGCTTTCCAACACTATTCCACAACATGCAGTACGTTTTAGTCGTGGAATGGTGTTGGAAAACTAAGCTTTATCTAAGGCATTATGAATGTATACAAGTATGTTGACAGTGTGCAATCCCTTGAACAGCAGTGCTGAAAAAAATGAGGATCAGGGAAACATTTATCTTTCAGCGGGTTAATGATCCTAAGTAGACCGCCGCTAAAACAAAGGAATGGTCACTGTAGAATTTTCCTACACAATTTCCTAAATCCTGAATATAAATCCCATTAAATATTTATGAGCCACTGTATATGTTTTGTTATGGTTTTTTGTAGCTAGGTATGTTTCAGTGTCCGGTGACAAGGAACGAATGTATACATCCAGGGTATACAGAAATTCTTCAGCGACATTCCATTAACTCCCTATTGGATCAGACGGAAATACTTTCAGAAGCAGAAGGTAATTTTGTCTGTCTTTTTAGCACTCTATGAGATTCAGCACTAACCAGAGCTATGTTTTGTTCATTGTTTGTTCCGTTTTTCGACCTCAAGCGACACGTCGCCTGAAAAAAAAACCTTTGAGATGAAGATGGTCGACCGTGAAAGAAATCGGTTTTAACAGCACTGATGGCAGATAAATGCCAGAAAATATGTTTTGTTTCCTTCTGTAAGAAAATCTTACAAATTGTTGTCCCCACAGTACTCGTGTTTAAACCATTTCTGAACACAGTATATTAGTGGAAAATGTTTTTATTCTCTAGCAAATAATCTTTACTGTTTTCGATCTCTATTCTTTATTGTCATTTAAAAAATAAATAAATGATTATCGATACTGTTCTTCCTTAATTTTTTTTGGGGGAACATTTTTCTTTGCGATCGTTGTTGAAACAAAGATGCGCCAAATGAGTGTAAAGACACACAATGTCCTTTAAAATCGACGAAACGCCCTAAAAATTGGTATGCATCCCCCTATTTTCCAAAATAAAAAGAGAAGTATATGATTTTGGCACTATACAAAAATAACAGCTGCTGATCGGCTATGAAAGCCTATTTTCAGTTTGTATTTTTAACCTCGAATCCCTGAATATAATAATCAAAGAGAATTTATATTTCTTTCATGGAGTAGTAAGTCCTCAACCCCGCGAAAGAAAATCTAGCCTGGGTGTTTTGGACATTTTTTTTCACAAGGCCAACATAATTGTAAACTGTATAATATATCGTTCCTTTGCATTACTACGAACAAAACTTCATACTTCATACACATTACCGGCTGTTAATAAAAAAATACTTTTTCAAAGTTGTAATTTAAAATTGGTTTCCCAACCTGCGCCAAAATAAATATCTTGCGAAGCCGTGAATCTCTTATAATGGTTTACTTGTTAAAGAATAGTTTCGTATTATTAATAAACTATTCATTTTCAAAGCTTGTTAGAAGCACACTTATCCATCGCGAAGAAATACGCGTTATGATCTGATAATTTTTTGGGTTAGAATCGCATTAATAAGTAACATGTCATTTATTAGGATCTTTTTAAACAATTTCCGAACACTTGTAATTATCTTCACTACAGTTAATTTGCGCAATTAACAATGTTTATTAGCTAATCTGAATCATTGCTGTTCTTGAGCAACATATTTTATTCCGCTTAGCTGTACTTTCACATAGCATTGGTGCTTCTACTTTTGTTATGATATCCTTTCGAGCATATATCACATATGGAATCATAAGGTTTTGATCTTATCTATGTTTATAATCATGAACAAGACATAAAATTGAGATTGCCACTTTGATGCGTTTAGTCCAATATCCAAAATCAGAAATTTAAGCAATTCGACACAACCAACTAAATATTATCGGAAAAATTAAATATTAGATTTACAATAATGACGGAAACTAGGCAGCATGTGTCTATTTGATACCAGGTAGCATCTGATATATTCACCTGTTCAACCAGTTTAGACAAAAATATATCTGTATATTAGCAATTAAAAATACAGCTTTAATTTTTCTATTGGGACCCGTACATTTGTACTGTGCTTTTTTGCACGGGTCAGGTTAGCAAGCTGAAATTCGGGCAGATGAAATTGACGCATGAATACTATATATATAAGCGTTAAAACATCAGTTAAAACTTCCAAGGTGGCGACTGGGCGTCATCTTGTAATTCTTTTTTAATTGGATCGAAAAGTAATTAGATACCTTATATTGAAGATTCTGAAATCATGATCTTTTAAAATGTCGGACTGGGAATCCATCAAAGTTGAGCGTTTTGTACATTAAATAGCTTATAACTCAGCAACTAAATCAACAAAACGCGATAGGATGTTACATGAATCTCCTTCTTTTGGAAGGGAATATAATAATAATAATATTTATTCACTCAGTGTACAAAGAGAACAAACAACTTGAGTAAATAAATATAGAATCAAAACAGGCCCAATAGAACACATTGCCTGTACAGGGACCAATAATTTCAAGTTGCAACTGTATAATGCTAAGGACAAAAAAAGGACAAAAATTAGCCACAGGAGATAATGTATTTACTTGATGTTCGCATTTATGAGTTTATGAATTTCTGTCCTAGATATAGAATGTAGCCACTTTTTAAATTTTGAAACAATTTCCGAAATGTAAATCTATTAAGTCTTCAGGTATAATTTCATAAAATTTTGGCGCTAAATAGAGATATAGCATATCACACGTTCCGTTTAAAAAGAAATGATGTATTTTTTTTTAATTCAATGTACCGCATTTTGTTTCACATTCCGATAGACTCTTCCAAGAAAAGAGGGTTGATATACTAAAGCGTTCTGACGATTGGTTGTTATGTGTTCAAAAACGCTGACAGCCTGCCAGAACGACATTTTGGAGAATAGTGATCTTATATTCTGGGTTATCAATTACTCATAGCGAGCTTACATATGAGGTATCATACGTATTCCATTTAAAAGATATTCCAAAATGGCGCCGATTACCCCGAATTTCAGCTTTTTAACTTGACCCGTTCAAAAAATAATTAGGGGGCCCTTTCTGAGAAGCACTGTATGTGGATGCTAGTATCTAAATACTATGTCATCAAGTGAATTTAGATTAACAAAATAAACTAAGAAAACATGCGAAAGATTCGATAGTTTTTATTTTATGACGTACTCTCGGAGAACCTGTATTCTGTCTGTGAATAGCATCCAAAACAAATAGCTCGCAAAAACGCAGTAGGCATGGACAGTTTTTGCTTACTGTCAAAAAATGTCTTAAAAGTAAGCTAAACTCGTTACCTTTTCATTCTTGTTACGCGAATAGAAGTAAACGGGTTGAACGAGCTCAGTGTTTTGACTTAGTTTTTAAACGTTTAACTTGAAGTTTTAAGAAGTTTTAATTGCTAATATTTTTTGTAAATAATGGCAGGAGATACGATAACGTCGATAACCGATCTGCTTGGACTGAATTCTCCGAGAGGGTTGCTGAATTTTGGTAATACGTCTAATGGATTGTGCACTCCTCCTGCGACTTCACCGAGTTTTCAGGTAAGTTAGAGTCCATCATTATCTATATCTCTATTTTGTGACATTTTGAAGATTATTTCTCATTTTTTCTTATTTATTTTTGCTGCTATCGTCTCGATCAATTTATTGACTTTTTACATCCATCTTTTGTTATCTCGTGTTGCCAACTCTTCTTGCCAACTAGTAGTTTCATTATTCGGGCAATATCTTCAACGCCCATTCAAATTGGCTTGTCTTTTTGTCATCTCATGCGATATTTGAAGCTCGATTCGACTCTTATTTAGTAAACGCTATTAGGACTTTTGCCAGTATGAATGTAATAAATCGAATTTATTTATTATACAAGGGCCAACGATAAATATTCTGCTGTATCTAGAAACAGCCAGACTTATGAGTCGTAGCCATATGGATGTTAAATGATTCTATGCTAAGTCGATTGAAGCTAGCGCATGTTGTAACGCGCCTTCGTAATGGCAGTATGCGAGGCTATAAACTACTGGTTTGTAAGTAGAAAACAACGCACCTCAACATCCAATTAGAGAAATATGCACCATATACTTAATTTTCCGAATAAAATGTACAGGGTGAGGTTTTCGAATTTCGAAGCTATTTTAAACAGCTTAGGTTTTAATGGATCTGGTTCATCGCGTTTAGTATTACCAATATTGAAACCACATTTTAAAAATGAGAGTTTTATTGACGTTTCAGCTGCCGTGGCAGTTTATTCAAACCATAATGAAACTAAACTTCCTTGTTCTATAGATGGGATTTTAATAAACCATTGATAGACAAAAAACATTATGCAACTGATCGTTTCAGAACATCTAAAATAGAAATATATACTTTATAAAAACATAAAGACACATTTATCCGAACAATAATGATTTAATTTCTCCGTAAAATGTGAAAATTTTAAATATACAGTGTGTTCATTTGAATACTTTCCACTACGAATTTATCGAAAACCAGTGATTAAAAGAAAAAACACCGAGACACGTCAAAAGATTTGTCAAGAGGGAGGACTTTTTAACCAAAAACTACTTCACCCGCTTTTACTCTCGGTCCCTTAGGGTCATACCCTTAAAAATTTTAAATGATAAGGGTATCGAATAATAGTTTGTTTGAAAGGTTTTTCGAAGTCCTTTATTTTGACGTTTGATTTTTTTAAATTAGTCGATTCGCTTTCGATAATATTAGAAAAATCTTTATTTATATCAATTTGTTCAGATAGAAAACAAAAACACGAAAATATCAATTTTTATTTCAAAAAGAGTTCAAAATATTGCCTGTTAGGGTTTATAATTTAAAACGTATACTACCAACATAAACAGCAATTCGGAACAACCAAATAACAACCCGAATTTTTTCCGCATTCTCTTCATCAACACAGATATCCTAGACGAACTGTATTTAGTGTTATACCTGTTTAGTTATTTGTTGCTTAGGGAAAGAGATAATTTAATTTGCTGACAGGTACCTTTGTGACAATCTTGGGATAGTGAAAGTTAATTTATTCATTCAGATTTTACTTCCAAAATGGTTTACACACTTGCCGAAAGAGTGGAAACGATTATGATTATGGTGCCCAAAATCAATGTGCTCGGCAAACTGCCGTCACGTTTAACGCCAGACATCCGGGGAAGATAACTTCGCAAAAGATCTGTTGCAAATAAAAATTGGCATTAGACTTTTTTCTAAGGGGCCATTTAAAATATGTTGTGTTTACTCCCCAACCTGAAAGTTCGGATAAACTTCGTCAACGCATCATCGAAAGCTGCCAGATATCCCACAACATGTTTTTGAAAATGTCCGTCAGGAATTTGAACATCGCCTATATCATTGTTTGATCAATAACGGGCAACATTTTGAGCACTTATTGAAATAAAATGTGATATTTTCGTGTGTTTTTGTTTTCGGAAAAAAATAACTTCGCATAGGTATTTTTTGGACGTTGTTACTAAATCTACTCAAATTGAATCTGTTGCAAATAAAAAACGTGATCATCGGACAGTTTTTGATGAAGCCGCTCAAGTTGAAGTTTTGGGTCATTTTGGAATAAATCCTAATACTTCATTACGCAAAATTGTTGCTGCGACTGGTATTTAATTAGGTTCTGTACACACAGTTACTAAATTTCATGCATTCAAAATGCAATGCAGGAGAGTTAACCGAAGATGATTTCGATAGACGAGTTGAGTTTTGTGAACAAATTACTGCAGCGATTAATAATAATAACATTCATGTAAAGAATATCTGCTTCAGTGGTGAATGCACAATGAACATCCTCATGCTTTTGTAGAAGGCCATAACCCAATACCCCCAAAAAATTAATGTATGGGCAGGCATTTTAGGAAACAAAGTGATTGTTTATTAGGAAATTTGAATAGAGACATTTATTTGGATATGTTGGAAAATACCATCAATCTGCTTATAACTGAAACCATTGAAAACCAAATCGAATAGGATGGAAACCCTATACTCGATGAGGCTGAAATGTATTTCCAGCAAGACGGCGCTCCTCACTATTTCTTCCGGTTCGCCAATGGGTAGGCGACGAGTTTCCAGATAAATCGATAGGGCGAAGAGGGCCTATAGAATGGCCTGCTAGATCTTCTGATTTGACGCCATTAGAATGTGTCTACATGGCCATTTGAAATCTATTGTTTACTCCCCAGCCTAAAAGTTTGGATGAACTTCGTCAGAGCATCATCGAAAGCGCTGCCATGGTATCCCACATGTTTTTGAAAATGTCCGTCAGGAATTTGAACAACGCCTATATCATTCTTTTGCCAATAACGGGCAACATTTTGAACACCTATTGAAATAAAAAGTGATATTTTTGTGTGTTTTTGTTTTGTGTCTGAACAAATCAAGATAAATAAAGGTTTTTCCAATTGAAAACGTATCGACCGATTTTAAAAAATCAAACGTCAAAATAAAGAACTTGGCGAGACCTTTCAAACAAGCTATTACTCGATACCCCTTGTCATTTAATAGTTTTTAGGGGATGACCCTGGCGGGCAGAGAGTGAAGTAGTTTTTGGTTAAAAAGTTGTCCCCCTTGACAAATCGTTTGACATGAGTTATATCAGCCGTTCCTGCTGATATGCCAGGAATACTGCCGACGATGCTACTAATTTCCTAGAAGACCTAGAGTTTACTTTATTGTTCTCAACACATTTTACAGTCAGTCAGATTTAAGCCTTTGTACTGTTAACATCAAAATAACATTGTAGTAATTTTGTAAAAGTACATTTTTGAGTTTTTATATTTTCGAAAATAAACTTTTTAAAAAGCGATCTCCAGGCATCGATCTTATAACTCGTGTCTCCGGGATTTTTCTTTTAATCAGTGGTTTTTTATCCGCGGTGGGAAGTTTTCAAATGAAGACCCTGTATAATTACAGAATGTTTCAACTGTTTCAGTTCCATTTTGATGAGCCGAATCATCAGACGCCAACCCCATTGAACTATGCAGCAGTTGCTTCTCCAATGAAGAAACTCCAGAGAAATGTATCGCTAGGTAGTGCTGGTTCATCACCTAGTACACCACCATCAAGTTATTTTCCGTCCCATTCCTTGAGAAGCTCGTCCCTGAGGTATGTATTATCGTGCATTCGTGATGTATGGTATCAGATATCGTGGCCATATCATAGAATTGACAATTATCGCATTTCATGAAATAATAATAATTTGACCATATCGTTAAATTGTCAACGTGTAGCGATTTGGTCATTTACTATTGATCACATCGTAAAATAGGGTGAATATTCATTAAAAATAAAAAAGAATCATTTTGACTAAAACTAGTAACTATAAGAAATTTTGTTTTAGATTTATTTAGCATTAATAGTCTAATCATATTAGCAAATTTCCTCGAAATAATTGTAAAGTCCGGTTTTATTGGTGCAAGGGGGTTTAAGGGGGTATTTAAAACATGGACGCATAAAATGGTTACACCAATTTTTGTGGAAAAACTTTTTATTTGACATCAGAGAATGAGAAGACGTGTTTTTTGGGATTCAATCGAAAGTGTTGACAGGAACGAAAAAACTTTTTATTTGAAATTTTAAGGTATTCATGCGCACTAGAAAATGAGAGCACACGTAAAAAGATCCGACTAATAGCAAAAGTGTTATGGCCGAAAAACGAGGCAAAATGCAGGTTTTAGCACTTGTTGGTAATGCGACGATAATTTGACACAACTACTTCAAATTCTTCAAATCCGTAGGATTCATACTTTAAATAACAACAAAATTGGACTATATTGGTCAAGTAGTTTTTTGATAATTCCTAATTGTTTATCCCAAAACACCTGTTTTTCTGCCATCACTACTAGTTTATTGAGCAATAAACCGGGTCCGTTCAAAGAACATTTAATAGCAAAATACACGTGTTTACCTTGCCGATATGAATCACAAACCATTCCGAAAGATAAATGTTAATTTTTTGCGAAAAACAAACGTTGCGTTTTTTTCTTCTAAACAAATTCAAACATTTCGTATTTGACAGTAATTGAACAAAGGCGCTACGATATTCGAAAAACATACATTACTATACACATTTTAAAACAAAGCGGATCTTTTGTTGCGAATTACTCACAAATACGAAATGTTTGAATTTATTTAGAAGAAAAAACGTGACCAATCATTTTTTGCATAAAAATAACATTTATCTTCCGGAATGGTTTGCAATTTATATCGGCAAGGCAAACTAGTGTCATTTGCTATAAAATGCCCTTTGAACTAACCCTGTATATTGCACAATAAACTAGTAGTGATGGCCGGAAAACAGATGTTTTGGGATAAACTATTAGAGATTCTCAAAAAATACTTGACCAATCTACTCCAATTTTGTTAATTGTTATTTAGAAGTACGAATCCTACGAATTTGAAGAATTTCAAATATCTGCGAGAAACTATCGTCGCATTACCAACAAGTGCCAAAACCCGCAGTTTACCTGGGTTGTTCGCCATAACTTTTTTGCTATTATTCGGATTTTTTCACGTGTGGTCTCATTTTGTAGGCCTTATAGCTACCTAAAAATCTCATATGAAGGGTTTTTTCGTTCCTGTCAACACTTTCAATTGAATCCCATAAAACACTTTTGCTCATTCTTTGTTATCGAATAACAAGTTTTCCCACAAAAATTGGTGTAGCCATTTTATGAGTCCATGTTTTGAATACCCCCTTGAACAACTTGCAACAATAAAACCAGACTTTAAAATTATTTCGAAAACCAGGGGTATTTTCGTCTAATATGATTAGACTATAATGCTACAATATCCATAATATCCATGTTACACAGTATAACACATAATATATTTTATGTCTTCAAGACTACATATTTTTAAACAAAATTTCAATACTATGAATTCTGGATTTCCACGAGATATTTTTTCGATTACCCCTTGATCATTTTCAAAGTGACAAAGATCTTGAAATTTTGAAATACTGACTTGCTCGTTATATTGCTACTGCAGTTTTGTAAATCCAAGTCTATACTCCCTCTAGTAGAATAACTGTGATACTGTTCAATAAAATAGAATTATCCAAGTGATCTGGTAGAAGATGATTTTTTAACTTGATATGGAAGTGAAAACCAAGTAGGTATGAAATTCTTGATTGTAGTTCTTTCAACAAAAAATTTATTCTAGTATATTTATTTTTATTCAAGATGATTCTCATAGCATTATTTTGTAATACAATTTTTAATTTTGAAAATACAGTTTCGTTTGCAGTGAACAAAATAGTCGAACAATATAAAAAATGAGGAAGAATGATAGTGTTGTAAGTAATTTGTCTTCTTGGATATTTTTGAAATAATATATTCACAGTGCCCTTCAAATTTTAATTTACTATCCCCGTATATTCCCAAATATTCAGATGATTCGATTGACACAATTTTTTTTATTGTCAATCGTAAGATTTATCGTATTTTGATCTAAAGATTTTCTTATTTAGCATATATTTGAAGTTGAGTCATTAATTTTCAGATAATGATTGTAGAAGGAAGATAAACCAAAATATGTGTGTAGAAATAAAAAAAAAATAAAAAAAAAGTTTACCTTGTTTTATAAAGTATCCTCCCGACAAGTATTTCAGTGCGGACCTGTATTTGATCGTGAGGTCTTGGAGCACCGGCCTGCCGTCCATATGTGAGGTCTTAAGTCAAATGATTCACGAACCCGTTGTACTACATTAACAAAGGCACGAGGGGTTGGTTGCACTCGATTGGGAAACCGATCCGCATAAACGTGTGCCATTTTTTATTTCGTTTGAGCCACGCAACAGACACCACTATCCACTACCGACTGACACTGACTGTATACAACTGAATGAAATAATTGTAAAAACATCGTTCCAAATTCTTTCGCTTTTTTGTTTCCGATGCGATGAACCGATAAGGCGAATTATATCCGTTGTCGCCAAACACGAGCACATAATATTATTATTGAGACAGGGCGGTACTCAAACTTCCAAAGGGCTATAACTTTGTTACTTTAATTTTACCAGAAAAATGGTAAAGGAAAAAACATTTCTTTTGATCAGATCTACTCACTGTTAAAATAAATGACTCAACTTCGAACCCTGTATTTTGTACTCGACATCTAATCTACAAAAACTGCTCGAAAATATTTCCACCATGTTGAATACACAGCCGTAGTCTTTGGATAAATGACCGTTGCACATCCCTCAGCATGTGTTCCCTTATGTTCAGAAAAGCGTCCTTAATCCTTTCCTTCATATTTTCCGAGGTAGATGGTAGATTGTAGATATCTATGAACCTTTTGCTTAACGTAGCCCCATAGAAAGAAGTCTATCGGTGTCATATCTGGTGGAGGCCAAGATATAAGGCGAGCTGCTAGGAAACTATTTGATTGGGCTTCGCCCAAAACGAACACCAAATTCACCATTTCTTCTTTAGAAAAATTCATTTTTGAACACGTTTTTAATAATAATGCTCACAAAGCTAATTTTGACAGTTTGTAACTAATCAACAATTTATTTATTTCCAAGGATGATCAGATATTTTAGGGAATTAAGCCGTTCCATAAAAGACGTGCTAATAACCAAAAAAAATAGCCGTAAAAACCTTTATGTGTCTAGTATCAAAAAAAGCTTATAAAAAATTGAATCCAAACTTTCACAAATATACAGGGTAATGCATTTGAAATTTTTGAGAAAAACTACAATTTGCATTTTTGACCACCCTGTATGAGCAAAAATTAAAATTCGAAAAAATAATTTTTTTTGTACAAAATTCAGCACTCCAAATTTCAAAATGGCGGACTGAGGGGTTGCCGAAGTGGGGGGTTTTTCTAGACAAAACACCTTATACCTCAGTAGCTTATTACCAAAACCCCATAGTATGCTATATCAATTTTATTCTTTTGAATTGGTTTATCCAAATATGCAATAAAATTTGAGGCATTCTATTTGAAAAATCACAACTTTGATATGTAGGTCGAAATTGGGACACCCTGTATAATGGACAATATTTTAGAAATGTACCCTCAAATGTCATATATAACATCCCATAAATAGATTTTCCCAGAATGTATTTGTTTATGAGTAATATTCCGTCCACACATGGATGGGCCACCCTGAATATATATATATATATATATATATATATGTGACATGAGCAGTAGTCATTGCCAAAGCCAACGACTAGTTGGGTACAAAATACAATTACTTGTTAATTGGGAAATTGGCAAAACTTTTAGGCTTAAGTTGACTCTTTTCACGATAAAATCAAGCTTTCGGCATTCCCTATGGAGCCATCATCAGGATGTGTATATATAAATCCATAGAAATGCAATTTCGTTAACAATTGCCCCCTGTCAATAGTCTCAAATGCCCTTTTGAAATCCAAGAACAATTTTACTGTAACCTTTTTCTCATCATTAAAGATTATATTAAAACATTCTTGAATTGCACATCGTATCACAAATAAAATTTTTGAACATATCAGATATCACAAACTATTACCTCGCGTGGACACCCTACCCTGGTTTATTGGACGTACCTATGACCTAAAAATGAAATATAAATTACGTCGATTTTTACATACAGTAATGGACAAAAGTATATAGACAAATTAATATTGTGCTGTATTTCTTTTTTAACTTGTTTTATTAATACACCAACCTGTATACATAATTCGTTATAGCATAATACTCACTTATACATAAATAAATTCATTAGACTCCCTTCAATGAAAAATTAATTGAAACAAACTGGAACTATGAAGGACAAAAATATATAGACAAAGCAAAACAATTATAGAAAAAAGAAGCAAAGTTCATTAAATTATAGAAAACCAACCATGTTTGTGTTAATATTTTGTACCATAACCATTATTATCAATCACCGCCTGACATCGTCTCGGCATAGATTGTAGAAGTTTCTTGATATAAGATTTATCAATCTGTCTCCACTTTTGCTCTAAAGCGGCAAAAAGTTCATCCTTGTTTGAATAATTTTTATCTCGTATTTGCTTATCTAAGTATTCCCATAAATTTTCAATGGGGTTTATATTGGGAGACTGTGAAGGCCATTTGAGAACTGGTATTTTTTCATCCAGAAATAATTTCTTTGCGAGATTTGAAGTGTGGTCATTATCTTGCTGGAAGATTGATCTTAAGGGCATATTGTCTTCCATATAGGGTAACATGACATGCTTTAGTATGTGTGTATACAAACATCCATAATGCCATCTATTCTATGTAAAGGTCCCATTCCAAACCCCGAAAAGCACCCCCAAACTATAAGAGACCCGCCTCCATGTTTGACAGTGGGCAAAGTGTACTTGGGGGGTTAATCTTTGTCCACGTAATGAACACCATCTGATCCAATCATATTGAACTTGGATTCGTCACTGAAACATACCCTCTTCCAGTCACAGATGCTCCAATCAAGATGCAACCGTGCAAATTGTAATCGGTCCTTACGGTTTTTCCTCGAGATTTGCGGCTTCTTACTCGGGCGACGTGCAAATAACTTCAAATCATTTAATCTTCTACTTATAATTTTCGTAAAAACACTGACAATTTCTTTTGTCTCGATTTCGGCTTTTATTTATCTTGGGGTTTTAAACGGATCTTTGGACGAAATTACTTTCATTAATATAACTGATCTAGCATTTAGTTTTCTAGGCCGAGCACTTCTCGTAGAGGCTTCCAAGATACCTTTTTGTTTATATTTGTTCGATATTGTCCAAACTGCTTTACGCTTCAGCTTCAAATTTTTGGCAATGTCGACTTGACGTTGACCATCTTTGTATAACTCGATGATCTTAGTTTTCACATCGAAAGAAATTTCTGGACCACGCGGCATGGTCTTAAAATCACTCAACTTATTCCACAATACTTGATGAACACAAACGAATCCTCTTCTGACACGAAACTGTACTAAACTAGTGTTGAAAAGAATGTGTCTACATATTTTTGTCCCTCATAAAATGTACTTATATTCAGACCTGTACTATGTTCATTACAGATAATGTAAAAACAAGGAATTTAGTTTTTCTACTAATAACGCATTTGTTTATGGAGCAATGAAGTATGAGTTCGTTTTCTAAAGATATTTAGGTAAATATTCACATTTGTCTATATACTTTTGTCCATTACTGTATGTACGATAATGCAGCAGTTTGTTAGAAAAACACGATATTTCAGATGGCGGTTTTGACTTCAAATAAATGAATAATAATGTAATTTAATCGCCTTCCGAACTGCATTTGTTTTTGACATTATGGTCGGTACTTGTGTGACCAACGTAGTACTCGACGACTCGAGTACTTTGTTGTCGTAAAGTCTCACTTTCTTCCTCATTTGTTAACGAGGGATTAAAATGTTCACTTCGTTATTAACGATTGCCTTGTTTAAAAGTAAACACAGCGCTCCCAGCACCTCTATCGGTGATTAATGTAAATATTTTTCAATTTCATCGAACATGCTTGACCATTTCATGAAGTTACCGCGCGTTTGGTTGATCACATAGTTAACGCACATCATGATCTGGCCAACAGATAATGAAACATTTCATAAACTGCTCAATCGCTTCATGAAATGGTCAGCATTACGATATGACCACGAAAGAGATACTGGTGTATTTTTAATCTCCTTATTTTTTTAGTGACTCATGTGGTAGCAATAGCCCAATACTCGAGTATTCTAACATGCGCTGCTCGTCTAATTCCAGATCGAATTCGCCGGAAACAAACGTAAACGGAGTTTCAACCACTGATAACCTAAGTGAGATTCTCGTAAGTTCGGATAATGACTCAGCCGCTATTATTTTTTAATTTCCATTGATTTTCAGAATACATTGACGTTGAATGATAACTTGGCTCGCAACATTTTGTGCAACAATAATACTGACTTAGATATAACGAATCTGCAGAATTTGCAAGCTATCCAAGCGCTAAAGTACTTGCAACAACCCCCCGCACTGCTTAGTTCGTTACTACCCACCGCATATGCTCATAACAATATGCAGGTAAGCTAACATCTGCATTAATACACAGGGTTAGCGAAAGTGTTTCCAAATACCGATACCAAACACTGTGGTGTTGTAGTTAAAAATCCTACAGTTATTTGTACTCTACAAAACGATGATCTTGAAACCAGCAATGGCGGATCTAGGATCTCTGGAACCCGAAGCACAGAGATTGTTTGGGGCTGGTAGAACATCATAAAAACACAAATGTTAGTAGGGTTTTCCATTAAGGACTTAACTTTATTCTTAAATAAAAAGCAAACCATTTGAGATATCTCAAAACTTTTATTATTGGATTGAAGTATACTCAAAACATTTATGTATGGAATTCGACCTCGTCCATATGTCCACCACAGGCGCGTTCGCAGCGATCGATTTGTTGAACCCAGTTTTCAATGAGTCGGCCACACATTACGACAGAAATTACCGCTATCTCTCATTCAATATTGGCTCTAACGACGCCGGCTTGTTGGCATAGGCCAATGATTTAATATAGCCCCACAAAAAAAGTCTAGAGGTGTTAAATCGCACGATCTAGGCGGCATTTGACAGGACCATTTCTCGATATAACACGTTCACCGAATTTCAATATGTCGATTCTTTCACTCGCTGTGTGGCTTGTGGCACCGTCTTATTGAAACCACATTGTCATTAATGTCTAGCCCATCCAATTGACCAAAAAAATAACATTGCAACATGTCTCTGTAGCGATCTCCATTCTCTGTAACGAGACGGTCATTATCATCAACGAAAAAAAAAACGGCCCAATGACACCACCGGCATTTAAACCACACCATACAGTTATTTTTTGTTGATTAAGTGGTGTTTCTTGATGCACATGAGGGTTTTCACCTGACCAATAACGCACATTCTGTTTGTTGACGAAGCCGTTTAGCCAAAAATGCTCCCCATCACTGAAGATGATTTTGCGATGAAATTGGTCATTAGATTAAACGGCTTTACTTCATCAGTTAACTTGATCTCATAATTGTGCAGGCCAAGATCTCTTCGCAAAATTCGCCCTAGTATGGTCTGAGCGATGCCCAACACTTTAGAACGCCGTGAAATCGACGTGTTCTGTTTGTTTGCGACGGAAGCTTGAACGGCAGCAATTGTATTGTATTGTATTGTATATTCTCGGCACTTCGACCAACCCGTTGTCTCACTGGCACGGGAACATCCAGCAGCGAATATGTGGACTCAAATTTGTTGACCAGACTATGAATTGCTTGTCTACTGGGACGAGAATTACGACCAAAAATTGGCGTTAACGTTCTTAAAGATGCAGACACCTACTCGGAATTTCGGTATTAAATTTTATTTATTTGTAAGCGTTGTTCGTTCGTGTTGTCCTTCACCATGATGAAAATGTTTTCTTTACTGAATGCTTTGACATTGACAGTTCAGTAATTGATTTAAAGGTGCGTCTACAGTGAAAGTTCAAAGTTGTCAAGTCCCTATTGAAAAACAAAATATAAACCTCCTTATATACCGCGTTCTCGGGCCTCCTTAAGACCCAGAATTGACGCGCAGTGCGCCGTGTGAGTTATCTCAGATCCGCCCCTGGAAATCAGTGTACATCATTCTGAAGAGTACATCTACACATCGGGCAGTTACAATGAAATAATATTTTCTGAATAGTTCATGCTGAATTATACTTTTTTACAGCAAATGCTCGATAAATGGAATGGTAGTGCAGCATCACTATTGAATTTTGTGCCCGAGAGTCTTCAGTTAGATAGAGCTGCCCGTTTTCATCGCTCTGCTGCTTGTGAGTATACTGATTTATCGAACTGTATATGGGTCAAAACTAAAATTCCACGACCTGGTTTGGCGGGTCATATATCAGATTGAGTGGAAAATGTTTGCCTGAAGTGTATCTTTGGAGGCATGAAGCTTTCAGGTTCCTAAGGTGAACGGTTTTGTCTGCAGACGAAAGTTGGAAGATCCGGGAAAATGTGAATTTTACCAGCTTCCATTTTTTCGCTTCTCCTGTCCCTGGAAAGCATTAGGTCCCTGATCTGATATTTTGGTCTGCAGATATTTCAGTCAAATGTAATATTTTCAAAGTTTTTCACTGTTTTATTAGGGTGACAAATGAAAGATCGACAAAATATTATTTTTTGTTTCGTAAAGTTCAAGGATCAACCTATCGCTCTGCATGAGTTGAATTTTGTTCTAGGACCTTTAAATTAGTCGAATAGACCTCCAGGGCAAATTTTGTATATTTTGACCCAAAACCATTTTCATCATGCAGAGGAGGTATAGTTGTAGTCGCCGTTCTTGGCGGTTACCTCATTAACGCCATAGGAAATAAGTAGACAGATCGAGTCTCCGTACCATGGGCGGATCTTCAGTTCTGCTATTCTCTTCAGTACGCATGAAGTGGGTAACAGGGGACCGCTGTTTTCATTCTCTTCCTGAAAATACTCTAATAAATTTAGCACGAGCTGTCGGCCTTCTTCATTAATCGTATTTCCGGGCATTGTAAAATGTTATATTGAAGAATGATAACAGGACAACTAAAATTGCACGCCGATGTCAAGTAAGTTATCACTCTGACAAAAATGATTGAAGGGCACTCATACGTAACGACAAAGTTTTCGAGACGGAGACACACCACTAATAAACGTATATCTTTGAGCTTACCGAACAAACGTTAAAACACAGGGGTAGGTTGCGTGTGTATGTATGAGAGAGATGGAGATATATAAAGGGATACTGGTAGTCTTACTTTGACCCGCCAAGAACGGTGACTACAGCTATATATGAACCTTATTTCAGATTGAGACAGTCAAAGATGTTTAATTGGTTACCGCAGCTTTAAGAGATATGTATTTGCAAAACACTAATTCAATATTCAGTATACACTGTGAAACGCTATCTCTGAAATGGTTAAGGCTACAGTGTTGGTTAAACGAAGAAAAAGATGCGTAAGTACCTTCCACATACCGTTTGAAAAATTTGGCTGTCAAAAATATTATTTAGAAATTTTGATAATTTTCCCATTAAATCGAAATCAGAAGAAGACAGCCATGTTTTGTAGACAGCGTGTAGAAGGTTTTTCCTAATATAACCAACATTGCAGCTCTAACCTTTAAGATCGCAATATTCACCTTGGACACACTGTATACTGAACTGTTCGTCTTTTGCAAATAACCCTTAAAAGCTCCAATGGACGTTGAGCATTGTGTTGATATATTTGTAAGATAGCTAACCTCTATAATTGGCTGAATCTCCAGAAGCATCGAGGTACATCCCACAGCATGGTGAGGTTGTGAATGTTGGGCTAAAATATCTAATATTTTCTCCAAGGGTCTATTCAACCAATCTACGGGTACGAGAACTAAATTCATCACATATAGAGCGATAGGTCGAGCAATTTCATTTATGAAAACAATTTCGTTAATTATAATACACCGGTAATAAAACAATGAAACATTTAAAGATAAATCCATTCGCCAAAGTTTTTTAACCAGTATTTTTTTTCAAAAATGATCAGGATCCTTTGAAAGGTCAAAAAACTAATTTTGTGAGATTTTCATTCTTGTCCGTTCATAGCCTATTTCTTAGCCGCTGATAGACAAATTTTCAAAAATTAAAACGCTTTTGCTTCCTTGGGACCTCGGTTGGCCGGGTGGGTCAGAGTGTCATGCTACTGATCAGCCGGCCGGCCGGGCCGCGAGTTCGAATCTCGCCTTCGGAAATCACATTTCGAAGCCATGGATGTTGTGACGTCGTGTGTTTGTCCGAAATTAGAGATATACATATATACAAGATTGGATCTGGCTAATGGGACGCAATGTCCTAGTGCCAAAAAAATTGCTTCCTTGGCATACCAATAACATTGTGTAAAAATTTCATCGATATCCAGGCGGTACTTCTCAAGTTATAACCGGTTATAAAGTTAGCGGACAGACAGACAGTCCGACGGAAATGAGTGACGCCAGCAGGCGTGGGAATTTAAATTGATTTTATGGATTTTTGGAATGGGATAAAACAGCGGAAAGTTTCTAAAAAATCACTGGACTGAAATGTCTACCTGACAAGTTAGATCGCAATGGAGGTTAATTTTTTAGTTCCTGGACAATCCTACTTCGAAAGAGCCATATACTGTGGGACCTAATGCTTTCCAGGGACAGGAGAAGCACTAAAATGGAAAAGTTGTCTAAACGCTAAAATTCACATTTTTTACGAACCTTCAAACTTTGAGGACCAGACCAATTGATTCGACCTGGGACCCTGAAATTTTACAAACCTTTATGCCTCCATACGTACTCGGAAGGAAAAAAAAAACATGAGCGCGATCAGAGATATGATCCGCCAAGCCAGGCCATGAAATGACGTTTTTGACCAATATAGAAAAATGAATTGATCAGTAAGTAGCCTAATTATTTCATATCTCATCTTTACCAATCACATTCTAGCTCTTTACGATGCCACCTGTACGTGGAGTGGCATACTACCGCCTCGCTCAAGCATTAAGCCAACCGGGTACTCGAGTAAAGTGTTCCTGGGAGGCGTGCCGTGGGACATTTCAGAGAATTTGCTCGTGCAGACTTTCAAACAGTTCGGACCAATTCGCGTCGAATGGCCAGGGAAAGACAAACAGGCTTCTCAGCCCAAAGGATACGTCTACATAATTTTCGAGTCTGAGAAGAACGTCAAGTCTCTTCTAGCGGCGTGCACCAATGATTACGCCAATAGTGTAAATTGGTACTATAAGATCAGCTCGAAGCGTATGAAGGCCAAGGAGGTATGTGAGATGTTTTTAATATTCGTTTAGAGAGTCGACAGAAAAATATTGACGAAAATTTCAGGGACTGTAAAAATAAGTATAAGAATACCAAGGTAAAAAATATTTCCTCCAAATTCAGTATGATGGCACTCTGTGGCTATAAATGCTATTGTTGAGATCTCGGATATTTGTACGGCCATTTTTGTTAGCTTTCTTGAATTCTGTTTTTCTTTCCAGGTACAAGTCATTCCCTGGATCATTAATGATTCTAATTACACAAAATCCACCTCGCAAAAATTGGATCCCGGCAAAACGGTGTTTGTTGGCGCTTTGCACGGGATGCTAAATGCAGAAGGTCTCGCCAAAATAATGAATGATCTTTTTGATGGTGTTGTGTATGCAGGTGAGAATATCTTTCAACAGCAAAATATAGCTTATTGATACTTGATTAGATATTTGAAATACATTCATCTTTGATCAGTTTAGAAGAACCCAAATGACAAATTGTTATAACGCCTTTATTTAACTGAACCTGTTCATTAGTACATATTAATGTGTGGGTCATATCTTGGAACTGAATTTTAAACCAGTTAACCTTAACCAATAAGGCTGAAATTTGGTTTGCGTGACAATGCAAAATGAATTAACTGCCGCCATTTTAAATCCATGATGCTACAAAGTAGCGATTCATTATTTCCATAGTAATCCCTATGATATGGGTATCAAATAAAAGGGATTGAACAAAATGGCGATTTACATTTTTTATAGTCACCCCTATGATATGGGTATCAGATAAAAGGTCTCGATAGAATGAACGCAATAAGCAGAGTAACGTAATTCTAAATCCAGTATGGCGGCCACCTCGAAATGGCGGTTTATTTATTTCAGCGTCACACCGACATGGATATCAAATGAAAAGGCTCGATGAGAGAAACACAATAACCGCAACGTGGTGATTTACATTTTTTTCACTCCTATGATAGGGTAATCAAAGGAAGGGTTTAATGAGAGAAGCACAATACGTGTAAGGCTTGATGAAAAAAATATAACAAACAGGGTGACGTTATTTTAGATCCAATATGGCGGCGGCCGCTGATTTATAATTTTCATGGTCACCGCTTTGATATGGGTAACAAACGAAAGGGCTGAGAGGAACGCGATAAGCAAATAACGGCATTCTAAATTTCATATGAATCAAATCCAAGCGAATAACCAAAATTTCTGTGTTATGTGCCGCGGTTATAATATGGTTCAAGATGACACACGGGTTGATGATGTCCGTTACACGAATCGCTTGAACGCGTTGGTTTTAACCGCGGTTTTGTTGCAAGTTGTTTATTTTAGAAAAGCGCGTATATAATCTCTGATTATTTTTATTATCACTTAATAATCGGTGCTTTTTCGTCTACAACTGTATATGGAAAGTTTAAATAAGAAACCTTTCATAATATTCATGGGAGAAATGTTTTTTTCAGATTTTTTTTTGAATGATGGAACCATGGTTTTGTAGCTATGATAACTTTCAATTCTCTAAATTTTTCCGCATGTCAAAGAAAACACTTATTGATTCAGCAGAAATGATGAAAAAATGAAATTGGCAAAACCGTATACAGTTGGATATTATCTAGTGAGTTTATATAGCCATATTTTAATATTCTTGTGGTATATGGCTACACAGGATACTTTGTTAAGCATAGGAACTACATTTAAAGTGTCCCCAACAACCGTAATGAGTATAACTAATAAGGTGCTCCACTTTATGGTAAAACTGAAGTCAGCCTGTATCAATTTTCTCAAAAATGAAGCTGAAGTACAATAACAATATCCAATACCCGGCAGAATTCTAACTTGTCACATTTCAAATAATAACCAGAAATATAAAACTACTCTTGCGTTGGGTAAATACCACAATTTTGCGGTGATAACTATGACATATAACAGCTGATTCGTGACGTCACGGATCTTATAACCAAACTGATAACTACACTCGCTTGAATGGATCGGTAAATACCAACCCAAAATGGTAAATACCATTTCCATTTGGTTATCCGCTTGAATTTGATTATGGTGATCGCCGCAAAATATCGGTTCATCATTATACAGGGTGCGGCAGAGAGGATGGACGGTTTAAAAAAATCATAAAATAGTTAATTTTTACTCGAAAACAAATTTATCGATGGAATCAGGTACACAAGGAAATAGCATTTGAGACAGTCAAGTGTGGAAAATTACATCAGACATGTGGTGGCCGAAATCGTTGATGCAGTGCTGGAGGCGTTCTTGGAAGTTCGCGTAGACTCTCTCCAACATCGCTCTCTCAACTTGGGCGACTTCCACGCGAATTTCGCCCTTGAATTCGTCCAGAGTTCGGGGCTTGTTCGCGTATACTCTAGCCTTGAGGTGTCCCCATAAGAAAAAATCGCATATGGATAATGAACATCGCCAAACCTGGAAATAAGGCGACCAGGGAAGAGAGGCCGAATAACGTCCATGGATGCTCGGGCTGTGTGGGCGGTCGCCCCATCCTGCTGGAACCACACACGTCGGATTGGAACACGTCGCCATCGTAATTCAGGGAGAAAGAAGTTGGTGATCATGTCGACGTAGCGCTCCGAGTTCACGGTAACATCACGATCATTACCGTCTTCGAAGAAGTAAGGGCCAATGATGCAAGTTTGCGATACAGCGCACCAAACCGTTACTTTTGGGCTGTGCAGCGGTCTTTCGTGTAACTGTTGCGGATTTTCATTAGCCCAATAACAACAATTCTGCTCGTTAAACATGCTGTTTAGGTGAAAGTGGGCTTCGTCACTCATAGGCGAAAACGCGGTGCTCCACCGTCCAAGGCTCCATAACGACAACTGGTAAAATAATGCTAGGATCTGACGAGTCAAACGGCACCCTCCCCACCTCTCTCGTAGACGGTGTCGGAGAGTACTACCCATCCCAAAAACGTCCGTCCTCACTGCCGCACCCTGTATAATTTAAACCTACCGAAATTTTATAATAAAAGTAAGCTAAGAAGTTTTATATGGAGTCCTATCATTAAAATATATGAAAGCTAAATATATAAACTATCAAACTAATTATTTGACATCGTATATATATATATGTATAAATATATTATAATAATAAAATGTTAATGAATTCATATCAAGTTTTCAAATAACATCGTGTTACATTTCGAAAGCAGCATGGAAACTGGGTGTAACACGCTTTTATTTGAAAACTTGAGATGGAGATTCATTATAATATGTATTTCCAATCGAAAATATATATATATATATATATATATATATATATAAATAAATGTTTAGTCCATTTTATTAACAGCTAAATAAAAGCTTGTTTTTAAAAATGCATTTTTTCATTTTATTTATTCCGGAGTATTCTTCGTCGGTTATGAAAAGTGTTTGTTTTTCAGGAATCGATACGGACAAGTACAAGTACCCAATTGGTTCTGGACGCGTTACTTTTAACAATCCGCATTCATACATGAAGGCGGTTGCGGCTGCATTTATAGAAATTAAGACTGCGAAGTTTACAAAGAAAGTAAGTATGATAATTTCTCATAACTTTTTAAGGTATCCGTCATAGAAGATAGAAGATGCTTTTTCTCGTCATATAACAATATTGATTATGTTACGCGTTGATTTTCGTTCGAAGGTTGCTTCTGCCTTCTATTGATGAATCAAATGCATATCATTCTGTCATTACACTACTTGGTAGATACTTTTGCCTTTCTTTTGTGTCTTTTATTATTCTTTTTTTTTTGAGAAACAACAAATTGGTACGATATCTTACAGGGTGTTATAATAAAATAAAATATGAAGTAATAAAGAATAAATGCGATCTTGGGATCTTGTGATTGAATCAAGTTAGTAACATTATTTGAGATTTTGTTTTGTGACACAAAAATTGGTAGAAGTAATAATTTGAATATATAAAAATTTCAACTAGAAAAGTAAAACAGGAACAGTCAATCTATTTTGCTCATCAGTATCATGTATGCTTTTTTATATGCATATAGTTAAATATTTCAATACTTTACTTAAAAGGTGTTGATTTTGATCAACACAGAAAGGTTAAAAAAGTCTGGCCTGAACCTCTTAATCGTCTAACTAGTTTTAGGTTACCCCCTTGGTAGCTTTATTATCGTCCAAAATTTCATCAAAATCGGTTGAACAGTACCTAAGGTATGTGATATTGAAGATTTTGCACCTTTATGTGAATGAATGATGTCCATTTCATCAAAAAACACCCCCAATAAGGTATAAAAGTTAAAACTATTTTGGCAGTGGCTAGTTTCACGGTTAAAAACGGAATAAAATGCACAAAACATGTATATATAATAATAATAATTCCAACTTTATTAGGGCGAAATTTAGCCAATGGCTACTCTTACATTTAAACCTGTTGAGAAAGTAGATTATGAAGAAATAATATTCTTGTTGAATAATAATATTGCGTATTTTTCATCTCATTATTCACCTGATCATATAATTTCACAGCGTTATATGGGAACGATCTTTGGGTTAGTGTTGAATGGTGATGAGGTATACTTCAGTTATGTTTCTTCTAGGCATCAGTTTTTCAAATAAGTAAGATGGTATAGAGTCACTATCAAATTATATACAAAAGCGAGGTAGTGTAAATTCACAGTTTTTTTTCACATTCAGCCAAAAAACTTACTTTCAACTTCGCTGGTATATGACCACATTTTCTTAGTCTATAAACAAATCGATAACAAAAATTTTACACCTTCTGTGGACGTATCTTCGTCGCACTGTCCAGGCAGCTGCAATATAAGATGTCACAGTAATGTATTGTGGCATGATGTTTTTTAACATTAATACTAACTAAGAACTATTTGTGATAAGGTTTTTTTTCAACATTAGTTCGCACATAAAATTTTTAATATTGAATAAAATTTTTGTATAATACTGTTATGATTCTGGAATGTCAAATTTTCATCAAACGTTACACCCAATTTTTAATTTCTCTGTGATTTCCAAATTGCCGTTTAATATACTTACGTTAAGATTTAACTTTGTGATTATAAGATCTTTTTGGACAAAGTAACATGATGGATCAACTGGGTATCGTCTACATAAGCAGCCAATAATGTGACAAAGCAGTCTGAAAATCGGAAGTGTAAATTATGAAAAGTTGAGGCCCCAAAATTGCGCCTTGGGTAACTCCTTAAACAATTTGTTTACTTTCAGATATATCACTCTCAATTTTGACTTTCTGAAAACGATCGGATAGGTATGACTTGGAAAAATTCAAAGATATGCCATCGAGGCCATAATAGTAAAGCTTGGCACAAAGCAATCCATGATCAATGGTATCGAAAGCTTTAGAAGACTCGAGAAAAATCAGTACTATAGGAATTTTTCTATCCAATGCTCTGATTATATCATCAGTGATGTCAGGTAATGATGTTGCGGTATTGTGAAAAGCGCGAAAGGCGGATTCGTTTGGTGGAATTATTGATTGTTGATTGTAGTAGTGAGATAATTGGTACTCGACTATTTTATCTAGCAGTTTAGAAACAAGAGGTAATGAGCTGATTGGACGCAAATCAGATAGATTTGTTGGCAATAAGTTTTTTTGGTAAAGGTACAATTATTGCTTACATTGTTTAGATAGTAACCCGATTCTATACAGTTAGTAATGTGAGTAATGTCAGGTAGTATAGTTAGCATAGGTGCAAAAATTTCCTTAAATTGTATATAACTCCCCATAATGGCAACGCGATCTTCGAACTACCGCATCGTCTCCCGCCACTGATGTTGAGTATAAGCGGGTAGATTGAAACCAATGCAGAATAGGAGCAAGCGGCGTCGTTAGTATGGCTGCGGCCCTAGTTGGCACTATAGTCGATTTTTTTAATGTTTCCAGGTACAGGTAGACCCATACCTGGAAGACTCCCTGTGCTCAATCTGCGGCGTTCAGCAAGGCCCGTACTTCTGCCGCGACCTGAACTGCTTCCGATACTTCTGTCGCACCTGCTGGCAGTGGCAACACACCAGCGAGATCCGCTACCACAAGCCGTTGATGCGCAACTCAAAAAACAACCCTGTGCTGGGTATGGGCGGCGCGGGAAGTGGGGCAGCAGGGACGGTGGTTGCCGCGGCAGCGGCGGCCGCTGCGGTCGCCGTCAACACACCTGCCAACTGAGGGCAAAATGTAACGTTTTTCTATCCATTGTTTTTTTGCTAAGGGTTGTTGCGGATGCACTGGGACGAAGCAAGTGTTAAGAAATGACATTAGGTGCAAGAATTGAGGAGCTCCAGTTGCGATTGGTAGATGTCAAGGTATGTCATGAATCACAAGTTAGAGCTCTTCAACACTTAGCGCCTGCAAACGCGGCAATGATATGGAAGAGGATTAACTTAATATGTCAGCTTGCCATTCATGGGTTAATAGCGCATACTGAGGAATGATACATCCCATAATCAAAGCTCGTTAATAGTGAAAGAAGTTAAACTAAGGTTACTTATTAGGAACATGTCATAGATACGTTTATTTTCAGTGCAAGTAGTTTTTTTGCATAACCGTCACTGACGCCTTGACACTGTACCTCTGGAATACCGAGTTAGCCACGTTAGTACAGAGATGTATGGAGGGTCGAGTGCACTTACGAAGGTTGATACTTCTTGATGTAGGTAAATAAATACTAGCAAAAATACAACAGGTAGTACCAGTAGGCCGTACTAGTTTATCTTTCTGTATTAACGAACTTTGATGTGAATTGCCTTGGAACCGTTGATTTTTCAGGGTAGATGGAATGTTACAGCATGTGGGACTACATGGAGGGGCAGTGAGTATTATCCGAACACTGATATATAGCTGTCCCCCAATTTACTACGACATATATACCTCCCATCGCGATATTCTCCAATATTGCATCATTATCAGACTGTACCTGCCGGTGTCCTAAGCCATGCGCCAGAATCTGCCCGGATTTAGATTCAGTTATAATATGGCGGACGCTGCAGCATTCTGAGGAACACTCTCAGTACCGCGGGAATTTTTTCTCTTACCATCAGTTCTCTCACCCGCCATATCTCAGTGTGCGCTAGCCCTATATTCATTCATTTTAAAACTAATATCTTCTTCCTTTTGTCTCCAACCATAATGTTGAAGGCTAACATGGAAAACGCATTATATGAATAGGAAATCTGGAAAATTAAAGATGAAGTTTGATTTCAAAGTTTCTTCACATACCTTGGATAACCTAAGATTGTGAGTGAATTGGTCTTGAGATCATTTGAGGGTTGGGATTCAAATGGAAACGTCTTCTTTTATGTATCATTTCAAGCCATCTTAACATCTAGCCTGAGAAAATATAACGATTTTGTCTCAATCTTCAAAAATATTCACACTACTCTTCACAATTCTATGTGATTGCAAACTCCTAATCTCCACTTTATAGTATTTGCCTTGTCTCGGTGAATGAGTAACTCCTTAGACATTTTCGACACTCCGTCAAATTGAAATCAGATCTTTATGTTTTGTTACTAAACACTTATGATCTAATTGACGGAAATCTCGTAACAGTTTATGATATATTAACATAACTTTAAAGCCCTTCTTTACTCGGATTGAAGATTGGACTACTCGGTTTTATTATTTAAATTTGCTTATAACACACGTTGGATGAAACAATAGGATTATTAAACTATGTTTGATGCAAACCTTGCCCTGTTTGTAATACATTGAAACTATACAATAACAAGATCAACCGATGAAAAAATCTTGTACGAGGTAACGAATGGTCTTGAAGTACCAAGTATTTTCTCTCTTTTCCTAGTGGTATTGATTTTCGGCAAATATTTTACCATTTTCTATAATACCCATTTAAGGATGAACATCTGATAAAATTGCGATTTTTCACTATGATAATACATACTACAAACGTGTTTTTATTTGCATATTTACATAAACTATTTGTTATTACATAATTTGTGTTAGTCCTTGTTTATGGTCTTTTTTTAACTTAAATGGTCAGCTTTGCTTTACTCAAGAATTATAAAGCTGCACAAAATAGGAATATTAAGGTGGCGAGCACCAACCAAGAGAATTCAGTACTGAATAAATTATTGAAAATATATGGAATCAGTGAATTCAATCTAGGAATATAGTAGAACTGTGTAGCCTCAGTGTTGAAAATATCATTTGTATACATAACTCCTGAACTCTCTGATTTTATCTTGCTTGGTGCTCGCCACCCCCAAGTCGCAGATCATTCAAAATCTATTTAAGCTTGGTATTAAAAAATTGCATCTTTTGCCTGAAGTCAGTACCTCCAATTTTTAAAAGAGGCTATGTTTAAGATATTTACTTATACTTTTTGAACTTTTATTACGCTTGTACAGCGTATGTACTTGGTAATTTTGTATTGTTATAGTTTTCACTTTTCTTTAGTGTTAAGTAAGTTAAGGTATGTTTATAGAGTTTATATATCTACAGACCTAAAAATGGGATTTTTGTGGATGACATTGCAAGTCTGAGAACGTTTCCAGCTATTAAACAAATACATATTTTTTTCTCCGTCAAAATAAGTAGGTAAATTTTTTTGCAGTCTCGCTTTACTTGAACTGCCTCATTACACCACCTCATCTAATTTGTGCTTGATATCATACACAATGCGGTGATAGAGGTAGCATCTCGTGATGAATGAACAGTTCTTAGCTAACACATGTCAAGCCGGAGAAAAATATAGGATTATAATGTTTTGCTACCAAAACAACATGCTTATATTTTGCTTTCAGATGACATACATAACTGATTACCTTTTATTTGGAGATTAGCCAGAATATTCTTGTTTTTAAGAAATAAATGTCTATACACTAAACTAATATTCACATTAATATTTTCAGTAATTGACAAAGTCAATCGATTTTTCTTTCTTACATATAATTTAACAGATATTAATCACAATATAAAATAACTAAAATTTGGAAATGTTCCTATATTAGTAGCAAAAAGATTTTCATATTGCATTGGCAGTCATTCTACAATTTGAGAGGCAAAAAAACATTTTATGAGCGATTGAAGTTGTAGGGACAGGCATTATTATTCCCCAATATTTTATATTGTCTAAATCTCATTAAAAAATAATATATTTTAGCCGTAACAAAATATTTTACTATGAAATTGAAGTTGTTAGTGTTTAACATAATCTAGTTTTAAGTGTTAATAGTTGAAATATCTTTTAAAAATTAATTGTTGCTTAAATTAATATAAATGATATATATATATATATATACGGGTGGTGTGGGTAGATACATACATATGTATTAGTTTTACAGATTTTATGATTGCTTTATCTTTATGATATTGATAACGAGACTGTCCTTATGGTGATATTTGGCAATGAAACGGTTAACGGCCTTCGGAAAGATTAGCTCAATGCTGTGTTTAATTATATGTTATTTATCATGTACTTTTAAAACGGTTCAGTATTAAAATAATATCATCACGCTTTTCTTTTCATTACAGCTCTACTGGAGTTTTCCCCGTTTTAAAGCATGCAGTATGTGTTTTATGGTAGTCAGTATTAGAAGAATGTCTAAGTGGCCTTTTTGACACTCATAACAAAATACAAACTGTTTGGAGTTGAGAAGCTCCCAGGATATGTATGTGTACAAAATATATTATATTATTACTTCAAAACAAATATTCTCAGTCCATCAAAAATAGTTTAGAATAATTCTAATTTATGGTGGGATGAAAATGCTAAGGACAACTGCCTATTGAGCTAGTTCAAGCTTAACCAATAGATAATAATTTGGTTTCACTTGGAGATTCTTCAGTGTTAGTAGTAGTGGCGACTTTTTAATTTTCTGGTGTTTGTTCACTAACCCATGTTTTGTTGTGATTTTTATAATTTTTATCGTTCAGTAATGCTAACCAAAGTATAGCATAGTAGTTTAGAATTTTTATATGTTTTTTAATGTTAAAAATGGTGCGTAGATTTCCTGCTATAAAATATACTGGATATCTTGGCATTGTTAACATCTTGTAGTTACCTGATATTTTGTTACTCCGTTTTATTTTTTGTTCCCGTTTTTAAGTAATTTTTATTTTTTTATTATTTAGAACATTTTTAACTAACTTTGAAATTTAAGGAACTGGAAAACAGTCTAGTAAAAATGTTGGTTTTGAGGCAAATTGATGCAGCAAGTTAAGTAAATGTTATGAAATCCTAGTTTTCTCTATTGCGCGCAATGACAGGTAATCAGTAAAAACAATTGTCAATTTTATATAAACGTTAAAAACTTCAGATTTGATGAGGATCTCTTGCAGCACCTCATGTCAAGTTGCAGCCGTAGCATCTTTTCTTGAAACCATCGTAGTTAATGGACTAAAGGTTCAGACTCCTTTGAACATATGTATTTGACGTTACAATGTTTAGGGTACAGTCCCTAACGTAACTGAAAATTTAACAAGTCAGTGGTTAAGGTAGTTTTAAAATATTCCTATAGTTACAGGTAGAATGAAAAAACGTGTTTTTTGGGATTCAATTGAAAGTATTGGCAGGAACGAGAAAACTCTTCAAATAAGATTTTTAGGTATTTATGAGACCTACAGAATGAGCCTACACGTAAAAAGATCCCACTTATAGTAAAAAAGTTATGGCCGAAAACCGAGACAAAATGCAGGTTTCGGTAGTTGCTAATGCGACGATAATTTCACGCAGCCACTTGAAATTATTTAAATCTGAAGGCTTCTTACTTCTGAATAACCGCAACAAAATTGGAGTCGATTGGTCAAGTAGTTTTTGAGAATTTCTAATTGTTTATCCCAAAAAATCTGTCTTCCGGCCATCACTGCTAGTTTATTGAGCAAGATACAGGGTTCGTTAAAAGGGCATTTTATAGCAAAATACATGAGTTTACCTTGCCGACATGAATCACAAGCCATTCCGAGAAGTAATTATTATTTGAATGCGAAAAATGGAGGGTCACATTTTTTCTTCTAAACAAATTTAAACATTTCGTATTTATAATGTTTTTCTTCGTCACAAAAGCTGGTAGACACATCCACTTTGTTTTAAAATGTGTATAATAACGTATGTTTTTCGAATATCGTAGCGAATCTGTTCAGTTACAAACACGAAATGTTTGAATTTGTTTAGGAGAAAAAAAGGAAAGCGTTTTTCGCATAAAAATAACAATTATCTTTCGGAATGGTTGGGATTCATGTCGGCAAGGTAAACTTGTGTATTTTGCTATAAAATGCCTATTGAACGAACCCTGTTTATTGCTCAATAAACTGGTACTGATGCTCGTAAGGCGTTTTGGGATAAACAATTAGAAATTCTCAAAAACTACTTGACAAGTCGACTCCGATTTTGTTGCGGTTATATAGAAGTAAGAAGCCTTCGGATTTGCATCATTTGAAGCAGCTGCGTGAAATTATCGTCGCATTAGCAACAAGTGCCAAAATTTGCATTTTGTCTCGGTTTTCGGTCATAACTTTTTTACTATTAGTGGGATCTTTTTACGAGTGGTTGAAGAGTTTTTGCGTTCCTGCCAACACTTTCGATTGAATCCCAAAAAACACGTTTTCTCATTCTTTGTTGTCGAATAAAAAGTTTTCCCTCAAAAATTGGTGTACCCATTTTAAATACCCCCTTGAACAACTTGCATCAATAAAACCAAACTTGTCCATTATTTTGCAAACTAGGGGTATTTTCGTCTAAATACTATTAGTCTAATATTTAAGGTAAGGAGGGGAGCACGACTCATACTAAGACCCTTCAGCTCGCCATGAATATTTTTTATACACATTTAATACTTAAACTGCATCATATCCACCTCAATTGTTAAACTTTCAACCACTGGCTTAGGTTAAACATACCAAATATTTTAACAAAATTTTAGTAGCTCAACTAACTTGGATTTTATGTTTTGTTAAATACATTTTATGGTGTTTTGGTGTGTAATTTTACTAGTCACAAATGGCGTTGTTATTTATTATCTGCAAATAAATATTCTCATCTCAAATCATATTTTTTTTCAATCACCCAGGTTTGGATACAATATTTGTGGTAGAATTAAAAGAATAAATGTTTCCCAAAATAATTTACTCTGTTTTCATATAAACATTATATAAAATAAATAATACCTTTTAAGTACAACAATCTGGAAAATGTGCAACAATATAAAATCAATATTAAAAATTTCTTTAGATGAAAGAAGGTCAGTGTGCTCAGACTTCAAATCTTCAAGGACCTCTTATAATAAATTTGATATATGCCAAGTATGGAAGATACTGTACCTACAAGTCCAACATGCCACGTTTTGAGTTTGGAAGCCCACAAAAATCCTGGTGGTAGTGTGTTTACAGCATGAATAAAATCTATGGCTAGCCTTGTTGCAGTTAAAATTTCATAATACATCATTTTAAGAATTTTATCATTTGGAATTCTGTAAACAAAATTAGAGTCAAAAGATGATGGCTTGAACAAATAAGTATTTACCTTGGGTCTATTTTAACACACTTTTCATGTTTGCGCAAAACTGCAATGTATCTCAATGTCCTGCAATCACAAATTCAAATGTCCACTTTTTCAATAAGCAAAGAGGTATTCAAAATGGAAATAACTTTTAATTCTAAGGATAATACTAACTTAAATTGAAAGCAGTTATAAATAAATCCCGAATTTGGTGTTATGTGAGAATGACAAACTAAGCTCAGAAAGCCATGTAAGAAATTGTAACATAATTTGCAAAGACAAAATTCGTACAGCGTTAGCAATTCAAATTTGATTACAGACCAACTACAGTGGCAGCTTGTTTCCAATGGGTGATATGCATAAAGGCGAGTGGGTTATCAGAAGTAGCGACTCCATATTGTAGCGAGTAACTACTCCTGTTAGCGAGAGCATACTCGGTTTTGATATGCATAAAATATTTGTCGAGAAACGGAGAGCCTACTCAAGTGCCAATGAAATACTTGAGTAGGCACTCTGGTTTTCGAGTTCCGACTTGTATTTTGTTGTCTCGTCGAATTGGCAATTTCTCTATTGCGAGCAGTTACTCCTGTATACCGGTAAACGTTTGTGTCGGTGGTGTTTAGGTCGATTATACCTATTCTAAAGACCATTCATCTGAAAATCAAACAGTATTTGTTAATATAATTAAACAGTATCCTGTTTTGTTGGAAAAATTTAACATCCCGGTAATCAAAAATAAACGACGTAAGGCGGCGAAAGAAATAAAAGAAAAGGTAGAAGCCGAATTAGGAGTTAAATATAACGAAGGGCAGATTTGTAAGACGATTCAAAACATAAAAACCAGATTAAAAGCGAAGACAGACAGATATCAAACCGGAAACAAACCAATAAAATGGAAAGGATGGGAACAAGAACTGTTCAATCTTAAAATGTGGTTGGGAATCTAATCCAAATGTTCGACTTCTGCACAATGCGTGTTATAGCGTTCGAAACGGTTCGGGATGCCGTAGATTGATGGACGCCAATAGCTTCTCCTATGCCAATTTGAAATCCTGGATCACCCACATATCGTAAAAAAACCCTCATTCTTTCTATATTGCTCAAAGCACCGCCCCTATATTCTTCTGTCTCTCCAAGAAAATGGTTACTTATCCACTCAACATTAACTTTACTAAACCGATATAAGGCCCGATAGTCTACTTCACTTGATTCCCTACGATCTTTAAACACCTTCGTAGGCTGATAAATAGGCATAAATTCGGCCATTTCGTCCACTTCTTATAAAGCTGAGTCTACTACTAAGGTATCTCGCATTTCTTTAAGTATGCACTCAGCGGTCAGAGTGGACGCTCACTTTTATGCATATAAAAATTGAAGTCGGCACTCAAGGAGTGAGTACAGCCTCACGGAAAGAGTAGAAACTTATGAGTGTGAGCTTCTACTAACATTTTCATGCATATCAAATGGAGTGGCTGCTTTAAAAATGCGAGTCAAAAGTAGCCACTCTCCTTTATGCATATCACCCAATGTTAGCTTTAGATTCACCAACACCATAGTTTATTGGTAATTAATTGCATACTTAGCACGAATTTTGCGTTTGAGATCAGTGGTAGATGGCCAACTGATTTGCAATGTTTAACCTCATTCAATCGAATAGCACAATTTGTATAACAAATACCGCAGAAGTAACGCGATTCACTTTATTCATAAAGAATATCCAGTGAAACACATTATGACTTCTGCAGTGATTTATTGTGAACATTTTACAACAAATTGTATTATTCGATCATATAATGGAAGAGCTTCAATAAGTAACAGCACATACAATCTAGCAAATTTTTTACCTTAGTTCATTACCAAGAAGCAGCTGTAAGCAAAACTTACTTTGTGAGTGTCAGATAAATAGATAGTACCCAACAAATTGAGCTGGCAGTGTCCCATTTAGAGTTGTTTACTCCTGATATCAAATTATGTTCTGCCAGCCAAGCCATTTTCTCTATTGGGAAATACACTTGATCAATCACGTTTGTCAAGACTCCCAGTTGTGCCATGAATTTATCTGGCTCCTAGAATACATTGATCCTTATTATATTCGTCTTACATCTTTGTATGACTAAATATCAATTATTGAAAGAAAGGTATAAAAGGAAAGAACAGAATAGTGTGCCATTTCTTCACCATCTTGATCCAGAAAAAGTTCTGGGGGGGTGGGGGGCAAAGCTGATGCCAATTAGAGCTTTGGTCCAACCCTATCTGTAATACCTTATACAAAAAAATAATAAGAGAGGGTTATATGGAGGAATGATAACTGGAAAAAAATTTCACTTTAAAAAGACCAATGTTTTTGTAAAGAATATAACATGTTTTGCAGGGATGCAATTAAATTTTTTATTGCTTCTAAGGGAATTACTATGAGCTACTTGACAACATAGCTGTTATAATGGAAATTGTATGTCAATGTAAAGAATTATAAATACATTTTTGGCAAATATTATTGTAGCATCCAGCTTAACGATGTGGATTTTGTTTTTGGACTGTTGTGCATGAAGATCCATGGATGGCATTGTGTTGATTTTAGCATTGATTTTAGAAGTCAAACATGTTTTGTTACTGCTTGGGTTGATGCAAGAAACTAGCTAGAGTTCTTTGCAGATAAAACCTAACGTCACATACCTGTGAACCAAAGCCATATTGAATATTATACTGCAACATGGGTAGATCATCTAATAAACGTAATGTAGCTCTAGTATCAGACATTACTGAACTGAAGCGAAGTAGCTTCTTAGCAATCTCTTGGTTTTCTTGTAATCCACCAATTAATCTAGTGGTATAGCATAATGTACGTAAAATCTGAAAAAGATATGCATTTGAGGCTTGCTTCAATAATGATTCGGGTGCTCACCTTATCCCTGCCCTTGTAGGTTTCTAGAAGTAAACAAATTTCATCAAGTACTTTCATTAGCATGTTTTGGGATTTTGAAGGCGCAATTGTTCTCTAAAGCGACTGCATATGTTCTATTGAATGCATATCTCTTGACATGTCTTGTTATTGAGACAAATCACTTTCACTTCTTTTTAAAACTTGAAGTGGAAATTTTAAATAAAAATCAAGCTTAAGGTTATATAAGGGAAAACAGTAGAGGGCTGTGACGTCACAGGGAGTTCCTACCTTGACAGGTCCAGTCCAGGGGCGGATCCAGAAACAACTTCTCTGTACAAAATAGGTATTCATTCTCTCCCGCAATGACAATATTGGACAGGAATATTAAAATTAGTAATCGATTGTTCTTTGTATGATGTAGGTTTTGTAAATATGCCAGTAGTTCAGATACTACCAGGTAGCTTGACAAATCTCATATTATTGGGAAAGATTTGAATATAATCCTATACTTGCTGGTAATTGGTACCTGATTTACAAATTTGTGACAGTTTTAAAAATTTTACATCCACAGTTGTCATAGCCAGAACAGTATTTTGATTTTATTAGCAAACTTTGGAGGTAAATGAAAACCTTCAAAATTTACGACATAAATTAATTTCAATATACTTTTTTATATTCTGAGGACCAAAATGAGGTCCAAAGTGGCTGCCGACTGGATCATGATTCTAGTCAAGATTCAATAATAGTCAGAACAAGTGACCAATTACTGGAATTGCGTGGTTGTTATCAATGTACATTTTTCTATACAGGGTGTCCCGATAAAAGTGTGCAATATTTTACCAGCGGTTTCTAGAGCTTAAAATAGGAAGAAAAGTTTATATAAACATAGGTCGACAAACGTCCCCTAAGGGCGCTACGGTCTTTTAAAGGGGCTCCCCTGAAGATGGTTTTTCCTTAATATTTCCGAAACGTGTTGAGATAAAGACATAAAATTTGGAATCCTAGCCTAGTTTTTTATGCTGGATTTAAAAATATTAACAATTTTAGGCAGTTTTGTTTGGAAGCGTATGTAACAGGGACGTACTCAGGTTATTTTAGCGCCAAAATTTTTGTGCGATTCTATTTTTGAAATTCAGTTTTAGAATTTGAAAGTTTAGGGTTTTCTACATAAAAAATGTACTCTTATTGAATATCGAGAAATTGTGCCATTTTTGAATCAAATTAAACTAAAAAATTTGCCACATGATAGGAAATGTACTGCGAATTTAAATGAATGGTTGATTATACATAGTTAGCCATGACTGCAAACAAAAGCTGTTTTGATTTGTTATGACTTATTTCGACGTTAAGTTGGCATTGTTAGCAGTGTAAAATTATTAGATTAATATCAAACTTTTTATTAAATCGATTTAAAATGCTAAGATTTACAGACAGAGAACTGACTGACATGCATTTTGTGTACCGGGTTTTGCAATGGCAGTTCATTGGCAGCCGTAAGAGAATATCAAAGATTTCCCAATCGCATAGTACGTCGAATGTTTACTGATATTCACCGGAATTTGTCAAACCGTGGAAAGTTTTCAGCGCATGCAGGGCTCAGGAAGGCCACTAGGAAATCATCGTATGGATATTGCTTTAAATATGTTTGAAAATAATCCGCAAATAAACATACGAAATGTTTCAGAAATTATGGATATACCTCGTTCAATAGTAAGAAAAATTTATCAATACCTATTTGATAGTTATCCTAAAAATAATAATTTTAGATAGGAAGAATGACAAGAATGCAAGGATTACATCCTTATCATTTTAAACCGGTGGAGCAGTTAACGGAGGCAAATTTTTTACCACGAATCGAGTTTTGCCAGTGGATATTAGCAAATGAAACCACTATTCCTAGAATATTATGGTCGGATGAGTCAATATTTACTAGGAATGGTGCTTTTAATTTCCAGAACATGCATCACTGGTTGGATGAAAATTCAAAAGTTGTTCGCCGTACAAATTTCCAACATAGATTTTCATTGAACTTATATGGGCAGGAGTAATTGGGGATCAAGTAATTGGGCTATAGTACTTCCCAATCTTCTTAATTCACAGATGTATCTGAACTTCCTTCAGAATGAGCTCATGGATATAATACCATTGGATGTGCGCCAGCAGTTTCAAGAAAATATGTTTTTTCAACATGATGACGCCCCTGCACATTTTGACGCAATGTTCCAAATAGGTTGAATGTCAACTTTCCAGACAGGTGGTTAGGCCGAGGAGGTCCTATAGCGTGGCCGCCACGTTCACCTGACCTAAATCCATTGGATTTCTATTTTTGGGGGTCATTAAAAGACCTAGTTTACTCGACTGAAGTAAATACTCAAGAATATTTACTTCAAAGAATCCATCAGGCTGCAAATGAAATAAGAAGAAACAGGTTTTCCACTTTTCGGGCTACGCAATCATTAGTTCGTCGAGCGAGACTCTGTATCCAACAAAATGGGAATTTATTTGAACACTTATTGTAAAGCTGGTTTTAAGTATATCCAACTGTATGTCTTCTTTTTTAAACAAATTTCAATTTCGTTCGTTGAAAAAATTTATTTCTTTTGTTTTTGCCTAAATGTTGCAATAGAAATATGTATTTATATAATATTTAACAATTATTAAATTAGTTTTTTCGTTGCCATGGCTAATTATTCAACAATTCATTTAAATTCGCAGTACATTTCCTATCATGTGACAAATTTTTTAGTTTGATTTTATTCAAAAATGGCACAATTTATCGTTATTCATTAAAAGTACCTTTTTTATGTAGAAAACCCTAAATTTTTAAATTCTAAAATTGAATTTCAAAAATAGAATCACAAAAATTTTGGGGCTAAAATAACCTGAGTTCGTCCCTGTTACATACGCTTCCAAACAAAACTGTCTAAAATTGTTAATATTTAATAACTGGGCTAGAATACCAAATTTTATGTGTTTATCTCAACACGTTTCGGAAATATTAAGGAAAAACCATCTTCAGAGGAGCCCCTTTAAAAAACCGTTGCGCCCTTAGGGGACGTTTGATGACCTATGTTTATATAAACTTTTCTTCTTATTTTAAGCTCTAGAAACCGCTGGTAGGATATTGCACACTTTTGTCGGGACACCCTGTATAAACCATAGATATCAAACTGTTCTCTTGGAATTAAACCTAAATGTGACTAAAACCTACTGTGTCCGACGACTGGAGTGAACGAAATTTCATAGCATCCCAAAGTAACCTTCCACTACCATTTTCCCGTCATTGTTTCACGAGATTTATTAACTGAAATTCAGCCATATGTTCATTTCATTTGTGGAATAGATACCAATAAAAAAAATAAATTCCGTATAATATAGTGAGAACAGTTTAAAGAAGGCTGTGAGAAATGTTGGGTGCGTGAATTATGTAGACGCTATGGTACTTCAAAGACGGCAGTGCAAGATAGGATTGCGGAAAAAAATTGCTTCTTGTTAATTTTTACGTAGTTCGTATGTATTTTTGATAAACATACAGGGTGTCCGGAAACTGAAGGACAATAGTATCATTCTGAAAATCGCATTAAATGTACAACTTTTTAAAGTATTTGGCGCGGTAATCCTCTGTCACTACAGGGAATCGAAGTAAGATGGACAAATTGGTTTTCATTAATATTTTGCATTAGAATAGTTTTCATAAGGATTTTGCTACAACATGAAAAATAACTACAGTGATTTCGGTTAATCAGTTGTAAATATTTTGAAACAAGGCCGCCTCAAAAAATTGATTTTTGTAGAAATAGCGACAAATTGACTAGACAAGTGTCAATTTTTCATAAAAAATTGATCGCTGTATATCTCAAAGACCATGCCACTTTTGACTAAGAAAAATTTTGTTAAACAGAAGGTCATGTGATATATTTCCAGTTGCAGTAGGGCGAATCTGCCAGCAACTCGCACAGCACGGGTATTACGTATCTTGAAAAGTGACATTAGGTCGTTTTTTTTTTACACAACGTAGGTTTTTTTGACATAACCTGGGTTTTGCTACAAGATGTTAACTTAGCACTAGCTGATGGACACTTGTTGTGAACTAGTTTTGTAGTTGTAGGTGCTTCTTAAACGTCAGCGAACTGCGATCATAGCGAGCAAAAAAAAAATTACACACTAAAAATTACCTAGTCTATCAACTAATTTGTGACAGTTTACAAAAATTTCACATCCACAGTTGTCATATTGACAACATTATTAGCGCATGCATTCGATTCTTCAATTTTTGGCATTTGTGTAGTAGTGACATAAACTTTAAAGGCAAGTAGAATCGTCAATTGATAAAATATAAAATATTCAAAATTGTCAAAATAAATTGAAATAAAATTTTAATATGTCATTTCAACATTTTGTGGTCAAATTGGAGAAGCCGCTGATAGGAGCATCATACTAGTCAAAATCCAATAGTCGGACAACATAGATACTATCAAACTTCTCTCTTGGAATTAAAGAAACCAAAATACGACTGAAGCTCCAGCCAGTGGACAGACAAAGATAACAAATAATGTGGATTATGGCCAGAGATATTGTGTCCGACTACTGAAATGATCGAATTTTCATAGCATCCCAATAACCGAAAACTTCCATTTTCCCACCATTTTTGCCGGAAGCTGTTAAATAAAATGTCAAATTTCCACTTCATTCGGGAATGGATACCAAGAAAAAAAAATAAATTCTGTATATATAGTGAAGGTGCGTTAAAAGGAGTGAGAAATGTTAGGAAATTGCTTGAAATATGTAAACAGTAAATCAGTTAGTTGTTCATATTTATCTAGTTTGTATGTATTTTCACTCAGTATGAGTTTGTTTAATTCCTTTTATTCAAAGTCTTAATGATAACTGATACTATTCTACATAACAAATTTTTAAATACGGTTCTGCCTAAAACTGGCCAATTAAATGGTGACGGACAATTGGAAACTAGCCGGCCCACTAGTAGCACTTTCTGTCCGAGTACTAGCAAAATAGCACCTTTTCGATTAATATTTCTTTATAAAATTAAAGGAATATGTATAAACGATGTATAAGCTGTTGGCAAAAAGTTAACAACATATATGATCATCTCCAAAAGCATTAGTTGTGTTATCTTGAACACAAAATTTGTAATTACACTTTGGATTCTACTTTTATCTAAACCAGGAGTTCCCAACGAGGATGGCGCGCCTCCCAAGGGGGGCATAGAGAGATGTCAAGGGGGGCGGAAAACGTTTGCAGTTTAGAAAGAAAAAACAAAAAAAATAAACAACATTTACAAATAACATTACAATGTAATGTTTAATATACACGCATAAAATTAGAAATTAAATATCATATTCACTTATTCTGTCAACCGCTGTCTCATAAACCGGCATCGTCAATCGTAGTTTATATACGTACAAGTTTCGACAAGTCACAACATGAAATCCGCGCACACCCCCGCCGCGCTCCACTTAACATTCATCACCTAGAAAACAATAACAATTATATACCTACCAGACGCGGATGAGCATCTGTGACGTTCATTCCCTCAAACTTGCGAAAAATTTGACATTTCGATGTACATGTTTTGTTGAGAAATCTGTATGAGTATGTCAAATTATTGTGTTTCACTGTTAAAAGGCAAGTTTGTGGATTTACAAAATTTCGTTACCATGTTTATTTAATTTACTAAATTGTTCATAGATCGGCCATTGGAACTTTTTTACCACATCACAATCAAACCAACGTGGCGAAATAATTTTGAAACGGCGAACTTCAAGTACCTTATATTGATTCCAAATGTATTTAAAATTACTATTATAACGTCAACCTGCCTACAAGAATATAAATCTCCCGGTGGCCAATATACTGTTGAATACATTACGTTATCACGACAAAATAATGGGCATATAAATAGTAATTACATGTAGGTATTTTGCTTATTTATTTATTACTTATGTTTTATTATAGGTGCCAAATAGCAGCGAAAAAAAGACAGTTTTCCGAAGATTACGTTAAGTTTGGATTTACCTTCATAGAAAAATACTAGTTACAATTGCCTCAGTTTGTGATATGTATGAAAGTGTTAAGTAAGGATAGCATGAGGCCCAATCGTTTTGAAAGGCATTTGAAGCAACAATATCCTACTCTGGTTTTGAAGACGAAAGAGTTTTTTCTTCTAAAGCAGAATAACTCAAGCGGATGATCGGGAAGTTATCCCACAGAGGTGTATCGCAGCATCTCAAAGCTTCATTAGAAATAGCTTTTATGATGATGAATTAATAAAACCATGTGTTATATATTTAATTCGATATCAAATTTTGTTGAAAAAAATGATTTAGATTGGAAGAAACTCATTGGACTTTGCACAGTTGGCGCACCTGCAATGATAGGTGTACGGTCGGGTTTAGCACGTTGTGTTATTCATCGGCAAGCTTTGGCTTCCAAAACATCCCCAAAGAAATTACGGCAGACTTTGGACTCGGCTACAAGGATTGTAAACTACATCAAGAGTAGCGCTTTGAACAGTCGGTTATTTAATTTAGTTTGCGAGGATGTCGATCCTGATCACAAAGTGCTTCTGTTCCATACAGAGGTACGCTGGCTGTCCAAAGGCAACATGTTGGCTCGCCTTTATGAATTGAAAGAAGAGGTAATTCTTTTTCTTGAGTTCAAAGAAAAACATGATTTCTTGACAATGTTCAAAGATGACGCATTTCAATGGAGGTTGGCTTATTAAACTGACACATTTGACTCCTTGAATGAGCTAAACTTGAAGCTTCAGGGCAGAAACAACACTATAAGAAGCAATTACGATTATATTCAGGGGTTCATATCAAAGCTTCAACTTTGGAATCAAAAAGTGTCTTACGAAAATGTTATATCTTTTTATCGGTTGTTCGAAGCAATTAAAAATAACATACTGGACGCAAATTTAAAAGCTGACATAAAAACTCATTTGCATGCGCTGGAACACGAATTTCGCCGATACTACCGAGACATCAATTCAGAGTCACCAATATGGCATATGACAAGAAATCCATTTGTTGTCGATGTGTCACAATTACCAGAAGAGGTTCAGGAAGAATTTCGAGAAATGAAGGCTGATTCGTCCATGAAAGATGACTTCCATCTTTTAAAATTGGAGAAATTTTGGACCAAAAGATCGCCTGTTAATTCGACACTTGCCTCTCTTGCTTTACGAATACTAGTTCCTTTTTCTTTAACTTACTTATGTGAGGCAGGCTTTTCTGCTCTAGTTTCAATTAAAATGGCAAAAACAGAACCTAGAATCAACCAACTGGTACAGAACATGCAATCTCAAGTGTATCATTAATACCTACTCTTATTTTATTCAAGTTTTTCGATAAAAAAACATTTATTAGTTTATTCAAACTTTCAAAGTTTCTTTATGAGAATTAAAATAAAAGTCTTTGTACCTATATAATGTGCGTTTTTTGCATTTATTGAAAAAGTAAAGGGGGGGCTGAATATATAATTTATAGTCCGGACATGTGGCCTCCACGCCGGACTACTCTGCGAAGGGCTATTGTTATTATTGGGGTTTTCACACAGTCCAGCGCGCGCCGCACGTCTTGGATCTGCTGCTGGAGAGTAAAAACTCACGTGTACTATGATATTTTTTTCGTTCAAGTGTTATGGTCTTTCGTCTCTGTTCCGCACTGAATTGAATAAAACTTTGAAGGACCCAGAAGTATGCCGATTTTAAAGCAATGGGTGAATCCAAAACCGCCTATTTCTTCTTCTTATTCGCCGTCTCCATAGCAAGTAACCGACCTCGTGTGAAAACATTACGCTTCCTAATGTATCCATACGATGGAAGAAGAAATAGGCAGTTTTGAATTCACCCATTGCTTCAAAATCGACATACTTCTGGGTCCTTCAAAGTTTTGTTCAATTCATTGCAGAGCAGTGAGGAAAGACAAAACACAACACTTGAACAAAAACAATACCATTGTACACGTACGTCTTTACCCTCCTGTGTCAGATCCAAGACTAGAGATTGGGGCGCGCGCCGGGCCGTGTGAAAACCCCAATAACAACAATAGCCCTTCGCTGAGTAGTTCTGCGTAGAGGCCGTATGTACGGCGAAGTCCGGCCCGCGCCGGATATTGTATTGAAACTCATCAATTCCCATACCCCAATGCCGCATCAGGCGCGCGCCGCGCGGCGCGAACCGGATCGTGTGAAAGCGGCGTTAGTTTAGACAATCAAATATCAAATTCTGTCTGATAACTGGCGACTAGCCGGCCGATTACGAGGGATGTCTTTTAAGTTTTGCTTATGGTAATAAAACAACACGGTAGGTAGTTTTAAATGACTTTATTGTTTTTCGAAGTATGCTCCACGAAGATTAATACACAGCAGCATGCGCTCGAACCAATTTTCGAAGCACTTATTCCACTCGTTTGCTGGCAGATCCAAAACGGCATTTTTGAATGCGTCAACTGTTTCTTCTGGTGACTGGAACCTTTGACCCCACAGTGTTTTTAATTTTTGGGAAAGTAAAGAAATCGTTAGGACTTGGATCGGGACTATATGGAGGATGGTCCAATAATTCCACGTTTTCTTCCGTTAAATACTGCCTTGTTTTTTTGGCCGTGTACGAGCTTGCATTGTCTTGGTGGAGGATGATTCTTCTTTCGGGGTTGATTTTTCGAAGCTCGCGGTGATGACTTTTGGCAAACAAATGGTGGTATACCAATCCGCAGTAACGGTTCTTTGCTCATTAAGAGGAATTGTTGCAATATGACCCGCTTTTGACACAAATGTCGCGACCATCTTTTTCGAAACACTTCGAGAACGGATGACTTTTGTTGGCTTTTCTTCACCTTGGAACACCCAAACAGCCGACTGTCGTTTATTTTCTGGTTCATAACAGTAAATCCACGATTCATCACTACTAACAACGCTGTACACATTTTTGAGTTTCCGTAATTGGAACGGTCAAGCGTTTTTGACACCAATTAACCCTGGCTACTGACTAACTAACTAACTAATTAATTTTCTGACTCCTAATTTTTGTTGTGAATTTTTTTGAGTTGAGGTCTTTGAGATCTTCAAGGACGCCTCAATCTCGCGATATGTCACATGTCTATCTTCAATGATGAGTTTGCGCACATCATCGACGTTTTCCTGGGTGACTGCCGTTTTTGATGCACCCACACTGGGATCGTCGCTAAGACTCACCCTTCCACGTTTGAATTCTCCATACCAACGGGAAATTGTCGACTGATGTGGCGCTTCGTTGCCGAAAACAGGCAGTAACTCAGCAAGGCATTCTTGTTGCGATAATTGTCTCAGAAAGTTGTAATAAATTATGGCGCGAAAATGTTCTCGGTTGAATTCCATTTTTCTAATGACTTGGTGACACTCAAAAATTCACTGTAGTGAGAACACTGCACGTATTGTTGTGAAACTTTGAATTTAAGTTTACTACTTACTAAGTTTATGATTCAGTACTGACGTTCGATCCGCGCGGCCTACTATTTTTCTATATGCAAAACTTAAAAGACATCTCACGTAATGGCATCGGTTCGAGTACTGGTGAAATATCGCAACTTCTTGGTTAATATTTTTTTTATAAAATTACAGGAATATCTATAAGCAGTGTATGTGCTGTAGGCAGCTATCTCCAAGAACATTACTTCAAGTTATCTTGAACACAAAAATTTGTAATTACACTTTAGAATTAATTCTTGTCTAACCTGTCTGGCCACTGGCACATTATTCATCCTATCTTGAACTTGAAGCGATCCAAAGCATTTCTATCACAATAAACTCGCCTCGTCCTCAATAATAGGGCACAATATAAAGCTAACCAGATTTTTTATACACCTGGAAAAGGAATCATAAAAAGGAGATAGTTTAATAGTAGTTATATTTTCCTATACTATACAAATATTACATAACACTATTGTACAAATAAGTATTTTGCTACAAAAAATATACACAGATGAAAAAACGACACATATAATGTGAAAACGAAGAGAGAATTGTCATAAGGTACAAAGAGAATGAATGTTACTAAAACATAATATGTAAATAACAAATTAATGGAATATTTTTTAAAATTAACATCAATACATACAACATAACTAATCTTTTATACTATGTATATATTTCTCACAGCCCACACAACATATGACATCCACAACTTCGCCACCAAATAATCATTTTGCACTACGCTTTGAGGTAAGTGGTAAATTTTCATTGTCACTTAAGTTTTGCCCAAATATTGTAGACAAAAATGATAAAAATAAGTGGCGTATACAGAACCTGGTGGTGGATAGACAAAAAACCTTACGGGTGGCAATTATTTCGAAAATGGTCAACATAACGTAAAAAAATATGTATACCTTCTATTTACAATTAGATGACGTTAAGAGGGATGCGTTTTAGTTTTATTTTCTAAGTGTCGGGTCAAGTTTTACATTTCAACTTGTAGAGTGCAAATAGTACAAGAACGTTGTTTACCCGTTAAAAAGCTAAATAAAATAAGCATAAGCGTTTAATTCCGAAGAAAGAACGTAAAACTTCACTTTTGCAGCGGAAAAACCGTGTATTTTTTAATACTTTTGAAGCGTCGTAGTTAAACAATATCGGAGAAAAGTTGATAAAACATAAATGTATCTCACTGGAAAAATCACCGGAGACTTAATTGACAGGGCAAAGTAACGTTTCTCTCAATAAATGTTGTAACCAATCACATAATAAATGTTTGTGTCCAAAGCTAGAAAAAAGATGACATGGTGCTTCTGGGTTTATGCTGGAATTTTTTTACCTAGATCCAAACTAATACTTTATCAGTATCAAAATATTAATTCCAAAACATCCCAAATTTGGAACATTTGGAATTACCTACCGCTCTGCAAATTTTGGCATGAATATATAAATAAATTCATCTAAACATTAGCAAGGTACGTGATTAGCATTTTGTACCGTTTGGGTGAGGCCCAGGTTAGCTCTTATATACGCCGCTAATGTAAATTTCTCTTTTAAGATGTGTGGTAAACAGTAACAGAACTTCAATCTTAGTGGCTAAAAGACGTCATAAATGGCATTTGTGTTAAGTAGTAGACTTTTGATTATATAGAAGGTAAAAGTCATCAAATTCCTGTTGCGTTTGCTCTTCCAAACAATTTGTAGAACCAAGACGTTCGAGACTTATAAACAGGCAGAGAATAACCGAGTATGCCTAACGAGAGGGGTGAAAGTATCGTGAGATTTATTTGCTGCTGTTTATACATGGTGATAGAGGTTATGTGAACAGTTCAGCTTGAATTTACTTGACTTATACAGTTATCCATACTAGGTTTTCAGTGGATATTGAAATATCTGTTTCCTAGCGTATCAGTGAGGAAAGTAGGATGGTTTTTATTGCAGCTACTAGAACATGAAGTCATAATTTAACCATATTTGTTATACATGAGATAAAAATATTGCTACTCGTAATACAACAACCAGAGGGCCCATGCGTGGTACAAGCGTCTCGCGCTATTTTGATATATAACAGAAACTGTCAAAATAGCGAAAAATGTTACTTATACTTTTGATTTTACTTCTGTCAGTCACTTTTGCCACCAGGTCTTATTGGTCAAGATTTTAGGTTGTCTATGACTAGCATTCATAAGTTTCCAAATACCCAATGTTGTCAAAAGCATGGACCTCAATGCTGCTGAGCAATCGGTCAACCATTGTCATTGTTATGAAATCGCTTTGTACAATTACCCATTTTTCTCTATAACCATTTTTTACATGAAGGCTTCTACAATGTTAAATTAAATTGAGGTAAATTGTATCTATTTGTCAAATCTAGTTCCGGTCTGGATATATCGGAGGGTAAGTTAACTCTTATGCACTTGGTTTTGGTACATAAGGCATATTCAAATATAGTGCAAAATGACTAATTGAAAAAAAAACCGCAAGTAATCGAAAGCGAAATGGAAATACATAAACGTTTTAGTTTATAGCTCCTAAATACTAACGATTAAAAACTGTACCACGACAAAGCATTTTATGAAAGCAGTGGCGTATACAGAACTTGAGTTCGGCCCATAGGACTCGGAGGTATATCCGACCTTTTCGAAATCGTAAATGGTAAAGATAACGTAAAAAATATGTAAACCTGTTTTTAACTTGGCGAGAAAATAGTGCAAAGAACCTTTGGATCGGGAAAACCGTGGATTTTTCAGTATTCTTGAAGCGCCGCAAAGTCTTGTGGTGGTGCTTCTGGACCTGTGCTGAATGTTTTTGCAGCTGCAACGAGACATTTAGACCCGATTTTACTATTGACGGCGGGAATCAAATTTTGCGCCTATTCAGCGTATTAGTAGTAAAGAAGTACCGGATCTAATGAATTTGGTCGATTTCTTTTAAGATGTTTCTCAAACTAGCGAAAAATTATTAGATTTGTTTAAGATGGGCCCCTAATTTTTAATATTAAAAGAAATGGTTCAAAATAATTTTGGCTACAAAAACATGAAGTGTATCAGAGTTGCTGTGTACAAATTTCTCGTTAATAAATTCTTTTAAGTGATAAATAAAATTACAGAATACTTATTCTTTAACAAACATCGAGTAGATAATCGATTTACTTACTGTTAAGACGTTAACAGGAAGATGTCGCGCACTCTACAGGACGGTAGGACGACTACACGATCACGTTGCGGCGCGCTGACGGCGGCAAGGCAAGAAGTAGTTATCTTACTGCCCGGCAGAGAGCGTGAGATGTTTGTTAAAGAATAAGCATTCTGTAATTTTATTTATGTCATCAAAGCATTTATCAAGCAGAATGTTTTACAGCAAGAGTGAGAAACTGTTATATTCAATAAAATGCGAAATTATTTGTTGTGATGTCAATCTAGATGTTGTATCAGATTTGTGTCCATGCTTCGAGTTTGGCGCAAATATGTATTTTTCATTGGTGCATTATATGACCATAACCACCAATTTAGAATTAGGACGCAAATGGAAATGTAAGTGTTTGTGGCAAAACCAGGTGATTTATGATCTATATCTTGACTTAATATGGGAATTAGAGGCCCATCTTAGACAAATCGTATAATTTTTCTCTATTTGGAGAGACATCTTAGAAGAAATCGACCATATGCATTAGATCCGTTGCTTCAAAGTTGTCTTCTAATTAGTGGAATTTGCGCTCCGGCTTAGAAAAATCGGGCCTTAGAGCCCTAACAAATACTTCATCACTGTTAATATATTAAAACCGAATGTCGATATCCTTCAGTTCCAAAGCATCCCCAAGTCCCAACTTAGAAACATGCCAATTACCTACTGCAGTGCAAATTTTGGGATGAATTAATAAATAGTTCACCTTGAAATTGACAAATTTGTCCAGAACGTGATCAGCATACGCCACTGTACGAAAGTAACAGAAATCGCGCTAAAACTTCATCCTGAAGCTGTTTCTTTGACCACCAACTCATCGTCTTGGTCAATAAACTAAACTACAGAGGTATTGAAAAGTAGGGCACTTGTTTTTCAATTCTGCCTATACCTTCATAAAATACAAATATCTAGTAGTATTCAAAAAGCATGTTATACATGTTGCCTAAAATAAATATGTTTGAACTATGTTGTGCAATCCCATAAAATAAAAGGTATGCTATGAAGGTAAATAAATACTTCGAGAATATCTTTTCACTAAAAAAATTGAGCTTCCACAGTCGTGACAGGATTTTGTAAGCATGTACAAAATTTTACTAGTACTGGTATCCATTGATGATCTCCTGCGAGGCGCTAGCGGCTCGCTTTTTTCCAAATGATGATCCGATGCAGAGCCCTTCGCCTCGTGATTGACGCGTCACCGGAGATCGTGTATACATAACAGTGTAGGTGTTCCAAGATGTGAGATAACGTATTTTCTTTAGAATCATACTTTTCATTAACCAGCTACATGATAATTCAACTAGACCATTATATATGAACTCATAACACCGAATTTATAATTCCACAAATAGATGAATGATGAAGATATGAATTATATAACACGATTATGAACATACATAACAAAGTAGAGCACATAGTGTCAGAGTGTAGACACTAGGATGAGTTACAAATAATATCTGGGAGAAACCATGGACCATCGTAGAACTCTTAAGAGTCGTTGAATGTAAACTTTTATGTATAATATATGAAAAGTACCAAGTGATACACGTTAACTGTTCCACGGGATCCAAGAGTGTAAAGAAAGCAGTGCGATTGTTATGCAGATACATATCTCAATAATATCATCATGATAAACAACAAGCTGATACCATAAAAGTAACTTCACAAATACTGGGTGACTCCCGATTAAATTTCCCTTTCCGAACGCTCCCTGTACAACTGCCTTAACAGTGGTGGGGGAAGTAGAGCTGGTAATTTGCGGCGACTTCGAAGCGGATTGTCAGTAAACATGGAGCAGGAGTTGAACGGGCAACGTGCGTTTATGGTCGAGCCGTTTTTTAAATCTAACGATTCCTACGGCGCGGCACGCCGAGTTTTTTGCAACCGTTACAGTATTCGGCGTGTACGTGATGCTCCGTCGAAATTTTTTGTGAAATCCTGCGTTAAAATATTTCGACAAACAGGTACAGTGGCGCCCAGGGAAACAGAAGTCCATCAGAACGCCAGAGAACATTCAGATTGTGCGCCGTGCTACGAATAGCAATCCCAGGCGCTCAATCCGAAAACATGTCCAGGAATTGCATATTCATCGCTCAAGTGTTCAACGGATTTTAACCAAATACAGTTTCATGCGTACAAAATTCAATTTAAATCCTACGGACTACGAAATCCGAAAAAATTCTTGTGAGACAATGATGAATATGTTTTGGGATGAAGGAGGCTTGGACCACATTCTATTCAGCGGAGGTGGAGGGCTACGTAAACAAACAGAACTGTCGGTACTGGTGTGACAACAATCCAAAAGAAAAGCATCAAAAACAACTGCATTCCAAGAAGGTAACAGTTTTGTGTCCCATGTCGGCTACTAGAATAATTGGGTCCTATTTTTTTTAAGATGCCTGGGGCCGCTCTGTAACTGTGCCAAGCCAAAAGTATACTGCAATGCTTCAGCAATTTTTGACTCCAACTCTTCAAAACTTCTTACAGATCTTATTCCCCTCAATTTTTTTTGTGGGGATATTTAAAGAATATCGTCTACACCGATCCCTCCAGCCACTAAGCAGTTAAAAGACAACATTCGACAGGCAATTAACAACATTCCTATTGAAATGTGTCAGCGGACATTCCAACATTTGAGAGCATCATTGGAGGAGCGCTATGAGCAGGATGGACGCATCCCTGTACTTTCAAAATTTATGATTAAAATCATCGCAACACTTTTAATTTTGATTTTATACCATGTTAAAAAGGGAAATTTACTCTGAGTTTGTATCTGTATTTGACACATTTTCGCCTACCCAGCAATTCCAAATATTCTCATTCATTTGGATTGTGTATACTAGGCCTGCTTTTACACATAAAATCGACAAATTTAGGTTCGCGAGGAGGAGACATTGCCATCTATGAGTAGTTCGCCAAACGCGGTACCATCGAACCCCACATCGGTAGCAGGAAATTACAGTCTCGTCAATCAGGGGAGCACTACGTGTTCACCATGCTATATCTTTTGACCTGCTATGCAAAAGTTGTATAAAGCAAACACGGGCTGAATAGGATCCGTTTGCTCCCAGTCTCTGTGACCATAACCAATTGTTGTTTAATGCATTTTAGCAATAATCATAACGGTATAGGTCTAGTCTAGACAGAGAACGGAAAGCAAATAAACGAATATAGGTCTACTTAAAAACGATGTTATATTGCTTGAAGAGGTGACACTGCCATCTACGAGTAGGAACTACTCGTCTGTGTGATGGGATACACTTGTCTGTTTCATCGAAGCGGACTGTCATACAGAGACGCCGGGCAACTGTAGTTTCCGTTGTCGACGTAGGGGTCGGTAGTACCGCGTCTGGGGAACTACCCATTAGTGGCAGTATCACCTACTCGCGCAACTCTGTTTTTCATATCTGCCTATCTGATTCCCATTATCTGCTTCGACATAACTAGACCTATAATGTACTGATGATTGCTAAAGAACATAATACAACATTGTATACCGTTGCTTATGTTCACAGAGACGGAAAGCAAGGAAGTAAAATTTGTAAATAGGACAGGCTTTGCTTGATAAGCAAGACAAAAACTTGTTTGCTGTCTAAAAAAGAAGCTAACTACATTACATTCTAGGATAAGCATTGCATAACCAGTATAATCACATTTCTGGGCTAGATATACGACTAATAGCACAGCAACATGAAATTGCAGCATGATGATAACCAATGAATGATATCTTGAGGAAATGAGAATACTCTTAATTTATAGTCACATTGAAATACTGAATCAAAAACACATATGCAACCATCAGTCTTAAAAGTCGTTCATATATAAATATATCAAAAAGTGTTAAAATACCCTGTGACGGGATCCATTCTTCAAAACTACTATAGTATAGATTTGAGGTCATTTCAGTGAAATGTATGTGCGCTATTATTTTGCAATATAATACGAATTAAATTTTTACAGTAAAATCTGCATAACAAAAGCACAACGATAGTTTAATTGACTTTCTGAGGCACTACCTAAGTCTTTCACATTTTATTGAAACAGTCTCCACAATATGACTTCACTAGGAGGCAGTTCTTGAGACTTCTTGATTAACTTCAAACAAGATAGCTGAGACATAATAGAAAACATATTCTAAATGCTATACTTTATGTAAAATCTAATTTTACAATCTTTTGCTTAAAGCAAACAACAAATATTCAAGTTGCTTCAAAGTCTCAACAAAACGATCTCCAATATTATTGGTCGTCAAGAATTACCCATATCTCTTTTAGGTGATGGCTACATTCTAGAGACAGTAGTTTAGCATGCAAATACCAAAACAGCAAGTAGCTCGATTACTGGTGCTGGTAGTCGGCATTGACGCATGTTCATATTCAATAGTTCCACATTTTTTACTCAAATTAAGTTTAAAAGCGTCTAAAGAAACATATTCAAAGCTGTAGTGACCAAAAGTACGAAGGTTGTCAAAAAAGTGTTACTCTTTTTCATAATAAACAGGTCTTGAGATATTTGCACATGGATGTAGTGGCGACACTTCAATATTGCCATGGCCGTTAGGCGTCAACCATTAAGGTGATTATATCTACCTCAAAGCTATTAATTATTTTGTTTACGGTAAGAACATCAAGTCAGTTTTATTATATAAATGCAAACAAAAAAAGCCCACGAGCCCTGCATTGAGTAGTAGGAGTAAGTGATACTTCTTTAATGCTGCCTTTACATCCAAATACAAACATTCTGCTATTCTTACGTTCTTAGTCTATCTAAGCCGTACTAGAGTTCTGACTGGCCCCGATGACAGCGCTAAACAAACCAGTGCTGTTTCTGTCAAAACTGCCAGTCTCGTCGTGCGGCCATAGCGGTTCACCGAACAAACTGGAAAGGTTCGAACAGAGCTTCTTATAGTTCTGACGGAGTACTTCTTGGTATTCTTGTTGGTCGGAGGCTATCAGCTTGCCATTTACCTGCAGCGCTGAATAGCATATCTTGAGGAACTCTCTGAAATTGAGTTGTTAAGATAGAGAGTACGGGAACGAATACATCTTAGTTTTTTAATGCATTTTATAGAACCGATAGAGTCAAGTAGATAGGTTCAACGTAACGTATGACCTAAAAGCTTTGGCACAAAATTCATTGGCTCTAACAAACACAAAATAATATCAAGTTGCCATTGGATACAAAAGTTTTTTTACTGTCAGTTGACATTTTTTGAAGTTTTCGCTTTAAGCTGCCGTATAAACTAGAAATAAGAAAAAATACCTACAAATTGGTTGGGCTGGTACCCAAAGCTGAAATCTGTCGATTATTCCAGAATGAAAACATTCCACACAGAACTATGTATCGAATAATAGCGGAGTGCGAGCACGGAATATCATGTCTGAATCTCCCAAAAAGTGGAAGACCACGTGCATTTACTGCACAGAGGTCAGAGAGATTGGTGAGAAGAGCAAAAAATGAGGTTTGAATGTCAACAATGAGACTGGCTCGTCAATACAGATCTTCTAAGAATACGATATCGTTCGAATTGAGGAGGAACGGTCTTAAATATCGAGAGAGACTTAAGTACCGTGCTTCAAATAGTATAACTATATATATTAACTACTACACTTGCTCTTTTTATTCGCTCCAGCACAGACACGAAATTTGGTAAAGCCCACACATAAAAATATCAACCGAGGATCACCGGGAAGATTAACAAAATATATATTGCCACACCTGTTTGCAGCTGCACATCCCACACGGAAGAGATTGCAGAAAATTAACTGTGGAAATACTATTTTGACTTCGAATGTCAAAATTATTTCAAGCTAAAAAGGTTTTTAGGAGATACCTGAATTTTTAGTTTGAATATGGAGGAGAACTCTAAAAAGGATGGAGCTAGTGAGGGAGTGGAGAGTGTGGTCTCACTGAGTGAAAATGGATTTTGTACAGAGGAAGTTTTGAAACTAAAAGATTATAGCATTTCGATTCAAGAAAAATTAATAAAGGAATTGTACGAAAAGATAGACCAATTAAACAAAAAAAATTGGGAAGATGCAACAGCCATCACAAGAAGCAATTACAACTTATCCTGATATGGTTAAAGCTTCAGGGCCTTCAACCGTTAATTCGCCTACAACAATGGTAGAATATTAGCAGCAATGCTTACCATTGCAAACACTTACAGCAAAAAAACAATCACCAGTATTAAAACCCACAAATACAGTCATTGTTAAGCCTAATAACCAACAAGAGTGTAATAACACAAAGAAAGACATCGCAAAATTTGTGAATCCTTCCAGTTTGAAAATTGCTATTGAAAAAGTTTATGAATTGAAAGATGGTGTGGTGAAAATCCAATGTAAAACAAAAGATGATATCGAGAAGCTACATAGAGAAATAAAATCAAAAATGCCAGAAACATATACAGTGAAAACTTCAGAGATAAGTAAAAAACCACAAATCAAAGTTATTGGATTTTGTCAAGAATATACAGAAGACGAGCTAACAAATACTATAAAATCACAAAATGAATCTTTTCAAGAAAATTGACATATGAGAGTAATTACAGTCAAAAAAATGAAAACTAAATATCAAGCAATTTTAGAAGTGGATGCTGTGACTTTTAAGTATGTTATGAATCAGGGTGTTATTTTTATCGACATGTCTGTTTGCTCTGTTTTCGAGTACATCAATGTTTTGCGATGCTATAAATGTACCGGATTTAACCACACAGCTAAATACTGCACAAATTCAAAAACTGTAGTACCAGTGAAATGTAGAAATGCTATCCAAATTGTAAAAGTGCAAACCAGGATTTTAATCTAGGATTACCTACCTGTTAATCATGGACCATTTGACAAAAATTGTGAAGTATATAAAAGGAAAATTGAGCGTGAGAGGGAAAAAAATAGTTATGCAAATGAATAGCAACTACTAAGCCCAGATTTGCAAGATGTCGATAAATCTGTAAGTGATGAATATAACTCAATATACCATTTAAAAATACAAGGAGTCCTGAATAATATAGATGAAGTTCAACAGTTTTTAAGATGGAGAAAACCACTTGTATTATGTCTTACCGAAACACATGCTACAGAAGACATCACTGATGGTGAATTACAAATTACTAATTATAAAACCTACAGATGCAACTCGAACTCCAGACATACTGGAGGTGTAGTGATTTATGGTTACCACAAAATACAGATCAAATTATTCGATTGTACCACTTTAGACTATGCATACTGGTATGCACATATACAGTTCAAATTATTTGGGAAACGTTATGATCTTTGTACTTTTTAACATTCACCAAACAGTGATGCGGATACATTTTTAACGTTTTTTGAAGAGAAATGCGATGAAATGTGGAATTTTAGAAACAATATAATACTTTTAGGGGATTTTAATTTAAATTATTATGGTAAAAGCATGAAAACAAGAAAATTGAAACAAACCATAAATAACTATGGGTTCAAGCAAAAAATTGAAGAAAGTACCAGAATAACATCATTATCAGAGACTTTGTTAGATCTTGTTATTGTAAATTTCGAATGTGCGGGGATTAAAGCTGTACATACACCTAAAGTTAGTGATCACAGTTGGACAATGCTGCCCTTGGTAGAGCATTTTTCTGATACAAAAATTAAGAAAATCGTAAATACTATTAAGTACGAAAAACTTGAACGAGAACTTGCTGGCTGCTATTGGAATTGTGGTAAGAATACAGAAAAAATATATGACAACATAATAGGAAATATAAAAACTTGTTTAGATCTTGCAACTGATAAAAAAGTGATTTGCTCCACAAAAAATACACCCTGGTATAACAAGAATATTAAGGCAGCTCAAAATTTGAGAGACAAACAATACAATAAATGTATATTCACAAAATCAAATGATGATTGGGAGGTATATAAAACTCATAGGAACAAATTAGAGAAGAAAAAAGGAAATTCTACGATAAACAAATCGATAATAACAAGTGCGACAGTGTAAAGATGTGGAAGGCTGATCAATTCGAAGCCGCATGATTGTGTAAATCAAGTTCAATTCGAAAACGGTACCGAAACAAATTCGTTGGTGATTGCAAACAAACTAAATGAATATTTTGTGGAAAGTATTGTTGATATTGTGGGTACTGCAAATGCTGCACCTGATTATATGAAAATCAGTTGCCAGGGGGAAATGTTGCATACACTTTCAAAACTTCATAGCGTATCTTTGAATTATCTAAGAAAAAAAGTAAATAAACAGTTCAAAATCAAATAACAACTGTGCCGAAATCACTACTAAAAACGTGCTGAAAAACTGTTTCGAAATTTTGGGATATCCTGTGTTAAACTGGATCCATTGTTCACTACAATAACACCAGTTCCCAAAATAAAAAATTCTAAAAGATGAAGCGATATGAAACCAGTAAATGTGTTACCAGACATTGAAAAATTATTAGAGTCCATAGTGCATGACCAATTAATGCCGTTTATACAAGAAAACCAAATTTTAAAGGAGGGGCAAGCAGGCTTTCGAAAAAAATATTCCACAGAAACGGCTTTCCAGTTGGTAACTGAGAATTGGAGAAGAGCCATAGACTCAGAAGAAGTCATAGCAGTATTTTTGGATTTGAAGAGGGCATTTGAAACGATTGGCAGAGATATTTTGTTAGGTAAATTGAAGGCATATGGTATATCAGGAAGTGTTTTAGATTGGTTTAGAAGATATTTGTCTAAAAGGATGCAAGTTACAAAAGTTAATGAAACTATTTCATCAAAAATTGAAAATACGTTGGGTGTTCCACAGGGCAGTATCCTGGGACCACTTCTTTTTATTTTATACATAAATGATTTACCTGCCATAGTCAAAAAATGCAAAATTCAGATTTTCGCCGATGACACTCTGATTTATACAAGTACTAAAAATATTCAGACTGGAAGACTTGAAACTTGCCTCAAAATGGTTAGCATCTAACAGACTAAAATTAAATACAAGTAAAACGAAAGCCTTGTTAATCGAAAAAAAAAACAATGTACAAATGTTCAACTGAATATTGATGGTGAAGAATTCGTAGACAATTTTAAATACCTGGGGGTTTTTGTTGACTCTCGATTAATTTTTGATATTCATTATGAATAAGTTATAAATAAGATTAGTAGTAAAGTGGGATATTTATCGAGAGTTTCTGGATGTCTGAGTTCATATAGCAAAAAATTATCTATAATACCATCAGTCTTCCAAATTTCTTTACTGTTCGACTATTCTATATTTAGCAATTACATAATTCCATTTTTGAAAGACTGCAAATTTTACAAAATACGTGCATGACAATAATACTGAATAGCAAATTAAAATGGCTCAATGTAAAAAATTTTATCAAATATCTTGTAATGATATTCATTTCTAAAGTAAAAAATAATATATTTCCATCAAGTCTAACTAATTTAACATCATCAAACGTCGACCATCATTTACATAATACCAGAAATAAAGATGACTTCCATTTAATGACCAAAAAATATAACATATGCTACAAATCTGTATTCCATCAAGGGTTGTTTGAATATAATAAATTATACTCAGAGATAAAAGACCAGAAAACTTTGACAAAACTTAAAGTAAAATTGAGAAATCACTTGTTAAATCTACAATTATAGCTTGCCCAGTATTTACATCATACATCATATGGCTTGAATTTACTAGTTCTAAGTTGTTTACAATTATTCTTTTACTACTACTACTAAATACTCAAGCGCAACTCCTTCGTCTACCAAGTTGCTGTCGTCAACTTAGGTGGGTATACTCTGCCCTTGGAAAAATCATTATTTTAGATGACGAAAAGTAATTCTGAAGTAAAGGGAAACGACGGATTCCATATGGAAGTTATATCCATCATCACCCTGTATTTTATATAATATTATAATTATTATCTGCTATTTCTTGCTAGCATTGTCGCTACGCTATGGAATCTTATATCGCGCCTTGAAGGTCACATGTTAACATCCTCTGTATCAGCATTTCTA